CGGGGGGCGGGGGGGGCTGGGACCTGAGTTGAACGGTGGCGAGGTCGAAGCGCGGTGGTGGAGTGATGGCGTGGAAAATGGAGATGTGACACAGGTGGATGAGCTCGACAAGTGTTGAATGAGAGAGGAATGAGGGACAGTGGAGTGGTGTGGAGTGGTGTCGAGGGGGGTGTGTAGATGCGATGAGAGAGAAAGACGAGTAGTGTGAGATGGATGAAGGAGCGAGTGAGAGCAAGGCTGTCGACAGGACTAGGAGACTAGGACACTAGGAGGCTGAGTGCAGGATGCAGGATGCAGCGCGCGAGTGAGGTCGCCGAGTGCTGGCCGCTGGATTGACGAGTTAACGGAGAGATGGGACGGTGGGACAGGAGAGGGCAGCTGGGCGCGGGCAGGGGCAAGGGACCAGGGGAGGAGGGCATCCAGGGTCGGAGGGCAAAGGTTGAGGGTCTGTTCAGGGTCAGTAAGGGACGGCGGGGGCAGGCAGAAAAGCGGAGGAGGAGGAGCGGGGATCCAGGGAGGAGTATCAGGGTCAGAGGACGACTGGCTGCAGGTCGCTGGTGCTGGGTGCGGTAGCGCCGTGCGTTCTAACAGCAAAAGGATGACAGGATGCAGGGTACTGAGCGATTAGGGCGTGTGTGCGCCGGCACCAATGCACCACTGCCAGGCGCCAGGAGTCAGCACAGCGGCTCTGCCGTTCGATGGTACCAGCGGCGACAACATCACGGTACGGCGGCTCAATGGCCAGCGGCAAAGCGGCACGGCGGCACGGCGGCATAGCGGCACCTGCCTGCGCCATGCGCCATGGCAGCGTGCCATTACCCCGTTCCCCGTGCCCAGGTGGGGTATATTGGCAAAGGTACGCGGTATACCCCTCGCCGCTCAGCGCCCCGTCCATTTGTAATTCGGCATTAGCAGCCTCTAGTGAATCCTAATCACTGGCTCCATGTTGCGGTCCCTGCCACCATGGCACAACCGTCCATGGTCTCATCGTGTAGGCGGCATGCTTTCCAGCGCACTCAGCGCTCGGTTGTGTGTACCTGTGATGCCAGCTGTCTGTTTCAGGGTCGCAGAATTTGGTTTGGTTTCACAAGAATGACAGTCTGTCGGATTGCCTGTCGGCCTAACCCTCTGCTCTCAGTTGTGTCGCTCGGCGTCCTCTGTCCGTCCGCCTCGGGTACACTAGTCGGCGCAGGCCACCGCTGTATCGGGGCAGGCGGTCAGACGGCACAGGAGCAGAGCCCATGTCACACCCGCCAGTGACCAGTCGTCTCGAGCTAGTCCCTGCGACTAACCCACTTGGCCACTATCCACCTTACGGCCAGCTTACGGATTCGTTAATCGTTGCGACCATGACATCGACGACAACGGCACACCGTTAGGAGTCGCTCGACAATCGCTTCATCCTCTGCCAGTGCCATGACGTGTTGCCTTCCCCCCCTGCCCTCGTCCCGAGAGCATCCTACCTCTAGTGGTGTCTGTTCAATATGTCTGAAGACGGAACGCAACGTAGGAGCATGACTGATTGACATGCCATGGTCGTGAAATGCTGCTCAGTCGGTCTTCGCCGTTCTCGTTCGGAACACGATGCACCTTCAAATGTGAAAGACGGTAGAACATATAGAGGGCGCAGCGAGAATCTGCGGGCGGCGGTGTCCACGAGACCCCACATGTCCAGACGGGTGGCTTACTTCATCGCCGATCCAAGTGTGGGTGCAGCTGTGTTGCTGTGCTGAACCACCGCCATCATTCCTGTCCCTCACTTCTTCACGCCTCGCTGCCACTGACTGTTTCTCTTGCAGCGGTAAAATCTTCGAGAAACCTGCTAGGCACTCTGTTCCGCATTCTGCGGCGTTTTATTTCTGAACAATGGTAGTCTGATCGTGGCCTGCGCACAGGAGCTCAGGACAGGCAAGCGGCGTGTACGATATTAGGAACCGCCGCAGCCAGGCGACAGGTTTAGATGGCCCTCGACTAATCGTCCATGGTACACCGTGGGGGTTAGGTGTACACATCAAGCTTGCGGCATGGAATCCTCGATCCCTTGTGCCTCTTGTTGACTGAGCCTACGAACCTGCGAGGCATATGATTCGGACCAATGTGCGCAGTCATTCGGTAAGCCCTTCGTCCGTTCTAAGCATGCTAAGCTGTCCTAGTCGACCTCGAGGGGTAGCGACAAACTCAGGGTGGCAGGGCAAGCTCAACTGCAATCACAGCCTAACAGAAACTGCAACCTTCCTCAAACCGACCTTGAACAAGCAGAACGAGAGACTGACCCCTGCCACATCGACTGTATCTCCAAGTGCCTGTCTTCATCTACCCATCTCAATCACCATCCGCTCCGCTTCCTCCGCTTCCTTATCCTCAGGTCCATATCCCAACTGTCTTGGCACTTGGAAATTTCTGCTCGTTCCTACCCAATGATCCAGGACGGTGACGACATCCTAAGGCAGTCACCGCTCGCAAGTAAGACTTTGTCCTGGCGGGGTCAGGTCGGCGGGCCTGCAGTCCTGGCTGCAGTCCTGGATGGTCCTGGCAGTGAGCAGCCTTCTGCTGGGTCCTGGTCAGACTTTGGGTGGCAACAGTCAAGTTTCGCCCGAATGACGTCAACAGGGCACGCTGTGCGACGCCGCCAGCATATGGTCTTGAAGCAGGGATTACGCCATTGGGCAACTCCACCATGCACCACCCAAGTCCGCCTGGTTTTAACTGCGGCGCTAACGAGGAATCGCTGCCTGCCCTGAGCCAACTGAGCCAACCCTCAGCCTTAGCGTCTTCTGACCTCCGTCCTGCTTGCGATCCTGGGCGCCGCGCGCCGTGCGCCGCCTTGCCTTGGTTGCACCTAAACTTGCTGCGGAGCGCGGAGCCTGGCGCCTGCGGGCCTGTCAGAGTGCCATCCTGTCTACATCGCGTGCAATTTTCCACCTCCGCACCCTTCCGTGGACCCCGTCTCGCGCGCCTGTCCGCTGCTGCGGACCTCGTTGCTGTCTCGCTGTCCGCGGCCCGTGTGCCCGCTCCGAACCTCACTGCCAAATGCGCAGCATCTTGTTTTGCAATTGTTTGAGGACCAATGTTATTCTCGCTGACATCCCGACTGACACTGCGAGCCGCGCGAGCGGGCGTGCGGGCGTGCAGGTGTCAGCACTGCGCATGGCGCCCAGCTACAAATCTGCATGCCCTCCCACGACCTATCTTGCGGACATCCCAAGCTGGCCCCCCAGCCTTCCGTATCTACAACCACATGCAAGCATCGCTTTGGTGAATTGGTGCAGTATAGGTCGTCTTCCATCTGCCAGTGTTCAGTAAAGAAATCAGCCGTGCACCACTGCGGAGACCTTGGTCACTCCGTTCCGCGATGACGTTTCAGCAGTGGGTACAACGAGTAAACGAGAGCTTGTCTGCAGACCGCACCAACCCATAGGTCATGGGTCTTCCGTTAGCTCAGTTCTGATGCACAGTCAGGATATAGTGGGTGTTTGGTGCAGCACGCGCGCGAATCTGCAGCCGCCCCGCAAGGTGCGGATGGTCATATCACAAATGTGCCCCGGGTGCGCGTGATCGATAAGGGGATCTGAGGATCGTGGGCTCGTGGGTTCCTAAATCGATTCAATCGATAATCGATTCCCAACCTTCATCTGCGCATAAACATGTCCCCTTGTACCTACAGGAAACAGGAGCTGCTTCATGCGCTCCAGCGCTCCAGCACCAGTGACCAGTTCCAAAGCCCACGACGAATGAAGCACTCACCACATCTTCTGCTTTTGTAACACAGCTTCCCTCTGCCTTCCCCGTTGCACTGCTCTCCATTTCGCCACCGCCTTCAGTCACGGTGACAGCCTGGTGTCACGGCGCGCTCGACCAGCCGTACCAGCACGAAAGGTATGCTGGGTCTTGATAGTCGCCAATGTCCCTCCATGCCTCGCTCACGCGCCCGGACGAGCGTACCTGCATACCGCAAGCGGCTCAGCTGGCTCATGGTTAAGCGTTAAGCACACAAGGCGGCAGAACGGTAATTCAAGCAGCCGGTCAAGCGCAAGGGCGATCGTCGTATCTGTCGTCTGAATTGACCCAAGCTCACCGTACGCTCAATCACACACACCTCGCTTCCCCGCCCCACTCGTCCACGAGGATGCGGCATGGCAAGCATCCACCTGCACAATGACCACAATGACGCAACAACAACTAATCTCCCATCGCACTTATCCCACAATCCACCCACGGCGCAGGTAGAATGCCTTCCGCCTCCGCATCATCAAACACAGTCCCAGTGCGTCTGGCGCCGACACATGTGCTCACGGGATACGCACTAATGCACCACTCAGGTCCGACTCAGGCATCCCCGCGGGGTCACCACTATCGAAGTTGACCCCGAGGCCCAAGGAATAGACGACCTTAAGGTCTTGATCTTCAGTGCATCGGAGATTCCTCCGAGCCAGCAAGAGAGTGAGTGAAACCATTTCCCACCAGCTTGCAGTTGCTCCACCTCGGAGGCAGCAGGTTGCGGGGTCCCGTCAGGTTCCCCGAGGGCTAAGAGACTCCACAGAGCCTTCCGCACCTCCATTGCCGGAGCACCGCGGCTAAGTGGCGGCTCGGAGCTGAACACGCCTGGGGAAGAGGACAATGACTGATTCCCTGCCATTGAACTGGTGTGACTAACAGCCTCTAGTCAAGTATGGCTACCCTCCCAAGCCTCTTCCGGAAACGTCGGGCCGACTATCCTCGATCCCCCTGACACGCGGCGAGCAGCTGATAGTCACCTCGAACCCCAACAAGCTGCGGAGTCCGTCGGCATCCCCTGTCCGCCGCAGGCGGCCGAGTGTGAAGGAGCTCGATGCCGAGCTGTCGGCACCGCGGAGCCCCCCGCCACGAGCTCGAGACTCCCCGTTACTGGAGAACGAGATTCCGCTCGAGACAAAGGATAGCGTCCAGGTCAAGGGCCACGATGCAGGCTATATCCAGCTCAGGATTGTGCCGGACGACAACTCGTGCTTGTTCTCCAGTGTCGCGGTTGTCTTTGAGGGAGGACTGGACAAAGCCCAGGAGCTGAGGAAGGGTAAGCTAGAGGTGTTCTGGAGAGCTGACATCAGTCGTCGCCGATGCGATCAAGGCCGACCCGGAAAAGTACTCCGATGTCATGCTTGGCATGCCCCGCGACGAGTACATGAAGAAGATCCTGGACAAGAACACCTGGGGTGGCGCAATTGAACTCGCCATCTTCTCGGACCAGTGCGCTCCCCGTTTCACTAGTGGCCTAGTCGCTAACATGTCGCAGCTACAAGACGGAAATTGCATCATTCGACGTAGCAACCGGAAGAAGCGACAGGTTTGGCGAGGGCAGTCACGAGAACAGGTGCATTCTCGTGTACTCGGGTATCCGTGAGTTTCAAAGCGGAGACAGCACGGAGACAGTTGTGGAGTCAACCGGAACTCCGATGCTTGCTGACACTCGGCATGCCGAACATTCATCGAGGCGTCAGCTGACTATTCCCAGACTATGACGCTGTGACACTGAGTCCCCTCCCAGTATCCCCTCCTGAATTCCACACTACCGTCTACCCCGTGTCCAACCAAGCGATTATGGACGCGGCACAGGAGCTTGTCGCTGGTCTGAAATCCAGGAAGTACTATACCGACACGGCAAACTTCGATCTGAAGTGCGGAGTTTGTGGCGTCGGCCTCAAAGGCGAGAAGGGGGCTAGGGAGCATGCCATGCAGACTGGACGTGAGTTGTGGCGACTCGCCGTAGCTGACAAGCAGATGTTGAGTTTGGCGAGTACTGAGCTGTGCATATACAACATCTCGCTTCAGCGCGAGCCTTTGGTTCCTCGACAGAGAGTCGGAGAGGGAGGAGGTTCTTGTTCACCCCTCGAGTTTGGTTGCGGTCTTCTTGGGTTTTGTTCGAGTAGGTGGATGTAAGATGTACATGCAGGTTTGAACACTCACTGGCTAATGCACCGGACTCATCCAGACCTCTGCAACTGACGCGGCGTGCACTCGCAGCCGCGCACCCGTGCACCTTGCGCCCTTGTGTGTGTGTGCCCGCGCTTACTGATGCTTTCGTGTCGCACATGGCTCCGCTGCGAGCTGCGCCCCCGTTTGATCTGACACCTCGCGTCCCCCTTCTACACAGAGTTGTTGATTGTCTTCCTTTTGCCCTCACCACCATGACTACGTCGCCGGAGAACGTGAGCAGCATCGCCGACCGCCTGGGCAGGCTGAAGCTGACCGTGGAGGCTAATCTGATCGATAACGAAGACCTGATCGGCGACGCAGGGGACCTTCCTGCGCCGACCGTCCAGCCAGTCATCCCCGTCAACTCGATCACCTCTGTCACTTTAGCCCAAAACACCCCTCTTCCTCGCTCGCCACCGAACGACGCCTCAGCTGCTCCACAGTCTGGCACATCCGACTCCAACTCTTCCGACCCGTCCTTCTCTAGCATCACCACGAGCGAGCTGATGACGCTCGGCCAACCCGCCCAGCAAACGTCCGGGACGTCCCCGTCTGGCGACTCAGAGTCCCAGACACAGTCTTCCTTCTACCTGACCACGTCCGCGTCACCTTTCGTCCGCCGATCCTCTCTGTCTCACCCCTCCCTCATTTTACACCCGTCGACCTCGCAACCTGCCTCGTCGACGACACACAGCTCCCCTTCCATGACTTCTCAGTCCACCTCTTCCCTCACACCAGCATCCAAGCACTCCACCCCCTCCAACCTTTTACCTTTCGCAACCCCCTTTCAACCAGCCTCTCAGTCCTCGCCCAGTAGCACTTCCTCGCCTACCACCTTCCCTCTGGTGACGTTGGCGCCCACTGGCGAGCCTCAGAAGATCAGCATCAAAGCTCCAGCGGCGACCGTCTCGACGGCCGCCATGTCGGACACTCCCCAGCAGCACTCTCAGCCTGCTTTGCAAGCCACGCCTCCCAAGGCTCAGGTCAGCGAGTCCTCTGCCCAGACTCCTGGTTGGGTCTGCCAAACCCCCGTCTGGGTTACCGCACCAGAGGGTGTGGGGATGGCTACGCCCTCGCCCACTCTGAGCTCATTCCAGGCCCCCTCGCCCGCCGACACTGCCACGTCCCCCCAGGCAGTCATGTCGTTCAATGTGCCTTCCCCCATCAAGTCTGTGGGTGATGGTTCCCCATCACCAACTCGCACTGCGTTCAGCTTTGGCTCGTCGATGCCTGCTGTGTTTCAGCCTGCTGCACCCGCCATGGGGTTTAACAAGCCACCCCCCTCGAAGGCCGTGCCCATCACCAAGCCCGCCCCTAAGGCGTCCGGCGCGCACAGCGAGTCTGTCAGCCTTCTGGGTGACATTCCGGAGGCAGAGGATCTGTTGACTGAGGACGACAGCAACGACCCTACCCTCGCCGATCAGTTGGCCAAAGCGAAGGTCCTGAGCGCAGCGCCCAGCTCACAGGCCTCGAGCACGGGCCCCGCCGATCTTCGCCCCACGCACACCCCTCTCGATCGCAACCTCTACAGCAACTCTGAAACTAAGATCGAGTGCAAGGAGACCCCCGTTCTGGCACCCAAGAGCAGCAAGTATGGCAACATCTCCTTGGCGGCTCCCATGACCGGCTCCTCTGTGGGCCAGACTACTCTGGTCGGCGACAAGCCTCTTCAGCTCCCCTCCGAGTCTGAGGACCCCACGCGCTCGGCGTCAGCTGCCAGTCTCTCCAGCACCCCAGGCAAGGAGGTCAGCGTCAAGGCTCTCGCCGCGATGTACGACCAGCATGCGGGCAAGAGTGGTCGCTCCGCCGTCACTCCCGGCTTCTCCGACGACCATGCTCAGACTGCCGATGACGCCGAGACCGTCACCGGTAACGAGAGCGACACCAAGGACAACTCGAATTCCGCCACACTCAAACGGTTCAGCGAGACGGGCTTCGGTACCGAACCGCTTGCCATCGCTGCACCTGGCTTCCGTCCCCAGTCGTCGGTCTACGACGCTGACAATGAGACTGACACGGAGGCGAGTGCACGTCACGGTAAGGACACCGACACCGAGACTGAAGCGCCCAACCCCAAGGTTCGCAAGCTGGCAAAGGACGACACTCTGTCTGCCGGCTCTGCCACGTTGGACGACATCACCGAAAAGCCCTTCGTCCCCACTGTCACCAAGCTGGCGGCTACCCAGGCTAAGCCTGTTCCCACCAGTCTCACGCCCGCGATCAATGGCCTGGACGAAGGCAAAGCTGAGGTGGAGGAGCTTGAGCGCCTCTGGACGGACTTCAAGGATGGAGTCGCTATCTTCGGTGGTGGCATCGACGAGGTGATTGCTCGTCTTACTAAGGAGTTCAAGAAGTAAGTTGACTACGACAGCTTCGTAACTGACACAGCAGCCACAAATGCAGTGCAGTGCAGATTGCTGCAGTGGCCCCTGCCACATCCACCATGGTGGCTGCGTCGGCGGGTCCAGCGGTAGACGTCAAGGCTCTCGAGATCAAGCGTCAGGAGTTTGACGACCTCCGCCGCAAGTCCGAGGCACTGCGTGCTCGCGCTTTGAAGGCCGAAGGCGAGGCTCGCGAGGCTGCTGAGCGTGCTAGCGCTCTGGAGGTTGAGGTCGACGCTAGCAAGAAAAAGAGCGAGGCAGACAAGGAGCGCATCGAGGAGCTGACTGGTCTGTACGACTCCTCTGAGAGTCTCTGCACTCTGCTCCGCAAGCGCAACCAGTCCGTCGGCACCGAGTATGTCACTCTCGAGGACACCCACAGGCAGCTCGAGGCGGACTACCACAAGCTGAAGGAGGAGATGAAGGCGAGTTTGCGAAGCAAGCAGCGCTGACATCGTAGGAGACTCACGGCTTCGTCGCTGTCTTCATGGAAGGAGAAGGTCGTATGGTAGGTATTCTGCACTGAGCTCACTCGAGTTAACGCGCGCAGTTTGATCCCGAAGAGCTTGCTCGCGGCTACGATGGTGGCAGCAAGTGGGCGAGCAGGATCCGCTCGGAAACCGTGCGCCTCTGTCGACTGATGAACAACGACACCGAGGTGCCCATCCTTATGTACCTCTACTTCGACATCGTAGGTTCATTGGGTAGTACAGTAGCACTGACATCCCAGCAAAAGACACTCACTGAGCTTCTCGAGGTGGGTCGCCGGACGTACTGCATTCCTGACCCTACAGTCTGGCTCTATCAAGGACGTCTCACAGTTTGATGACTTCATGGAGGGCTTCTCTTCTACTGAAGACCTCATCACTGTCTCTGACGTTTCTGGCGCCGTCGGCGCATCAGTTAAGATTAGGGGTAAGTGCCGTGGACCTTCACTGAGCTGACAGCCAGCCAAGATGAAGCTTATGTCTGGGTTCCGCGCCTGTCGCCTCATCTACCTTGTGGCCGGAAAGGTTAGTTTTTAATGGCACCGCATCAAGTTGACATACAGGACAAGGGTTATGTCAAGGATATCACAAGCTGGCCCAAGTCTGCCCAGGCCAAAGTCTACGCTGCTCGTTCGACGGGCGCGGACGAGGCCGACAAGGATCCCTTCCTCCAGCTCGGCAACGACCACCTGTTCTATGCCGACTGCTTTTTTCCGAGGACCTTCGACCAGTGGTCCAACGAGATCCAGAAAACCAGCGGACAGCGCCAGGCTGGTGAGGGCGCTCCTCAGCAGCCACAGCCTGCTGCCACCCAGCAGCACCTTGGGCAGGGAGCGCCGCCGCCTCAGCAGCAGCTCCAGACGCAGCTTGCCCCCGAGAACACCCCCAACCCCGGCCCCCTCGACCCCAACCACACAGGATTGACCGCCCGTCCCGGTGCATTCGCTGGTCTGCAGCAGCCTCTCAACCCGACGACGCAGTACGGCACTCCTCCGCCCCAGGCGAGCCACACTCCGCGCGCGCCTAGCCAGAGTCCCGTGGCTCCCATGCAGCCCCAGCAGCAGCAGCCCCCTCCTCCTCAAGCCCAGGCTGGCGCTGCCTGGGGTCAGAACCGTAGTGCCACGTACAGCTACCAAGCGCCACCTCAAGGCCCGCCCCAGGGCCCTCCCCAGGTTCAACAGCAGGCACCACATGCCGGGGACTGGGGCCAGCGCAGTGTGTCGTGGAGTCAGCCTCCTCAGCAGCAGCAGGTGCCCCTGCAGCAGCAGCAAGCGCCCCCTCAGCAGTGGCAGCAAGCTCCCGCGCAGCAGCAGCAGCCCCCGCCTCAGCAGTGGCAGCAGGCTCCGCCTCCTCAGCAAGGTCCGCCCCAGCAGCAGCCTCCACCCCAGCAGTGGCAGCAGCACGGCCCACCTCAGCAGCAAGGTCCACCCCAGCAGCAAGGTCCGCCTCAGCAGTGGCAGCAGCCCCAGCAGCCCCAGCAGCCTGCCTATCAACAGCCTCAGCAGCAGCAGCACCAGCAACCGCCTCCTCAGCAGCAGCAGCAGCCTTCCCCCATCAAGTCTGTGGGTGATGGTTCCCCATCACCAACTCGCACTGCGTTCAGCTTTGGCTCGTCGATGCCTGCTGTGTTTCAGCCTGCTGCACCCGCCATGGGGTTTAACAAGCCACCCCCCTCGAAGGCCGTGCCCATCACCAAGCCCGCCCCTAAGGCGTCCGGCGCGCACAGCGAGTCTGTCAGCCTTCTGGGTGACATTCCGGAGGCAGAGGATCTGTTGACTGAGGACGACAGCAACGACCCTACCCTCGCCGATCAGTTGGCCAAAGCGAAGGTCCTGATGGTCATATCACAAATGTGCCCCGGGTGCGCGTGATCGATAAGGGGATCTGAGGATCGTGGGCTCGTGGGTTCCTAAATCGATTCAATCGATAATCGATTCCCAACCTTCATCTGCGCATAAACATGTCCCCTTCCCGCACAGTTCCAGGCTCAGCCTCAGCCGCAGCAGCAACCCCAGCAGCCTCAGCAGACTCCTCCGCAGCAGCCCGCTCAGTCTCAGCAGCCTCCCTGGAACCAGTACGGCGCCGCCCCTCCTGCTCAGCCTCAACAGCCTCAGAAGCAGCCTTCCCCCGTTGTTGAGCAGCGTCAGCCTCAAGCTCGTCGCTACAACGAGGTGGTGATCTCCCACGCCCGCGGATACGCTGGCTCGATCGGCGGGAGCCCTCCGTCCACCGACGAGGACAACCCTCTGCTGAAGGACGTGCCTCAGACGTCTCGCACCTTCGTCTCGCGTCCTCCCCAGTTCGCCCGCGCCGAGGACCCCATCCAGCGCCCTGGTAGCTCCAACTCGCTGATCTCCATGGTCAGTTCTGCTGTGCACGGTCGTGGGATGGGCCCTCCGCCCACTTTTCGTGTCCGTGATGTCTCTCAGTCACACACTCAGCCTCACTCTCAGCCTCCCCAGGCTCCTCATGCACCCCAGCCCGCCCCCGTTCAGGCCCCTCCTCCCTGGGCCCAGCACGGTGGTGTTGCTCACAAGGTCGACAACAATAACTCTGACTGGCGCTTGGTGAGTTATACGTAAACTCCCATATCAACTGACACCGCACAGTAATGAAAAGTGAAACGCGTCTCGATCTGAACGTACCGGGGAGATCTCCCGTGCCCATGCCCTGCTTAGTGTGCAGCTAAGCGATGCCTGTGTGTAGCAAGTAGAATGCAGTATGCAGCGAACATGTGCAGAGGGCGTGCCGCCAAGCCCGTAAATAGCAGCACCATCGGCCAGGGCCGGTTCTGTCCGAGGTGGCGTGTGATGTCATTGAGTGGCTTGCCGGCGGCAGTGACGATAAAAGCGACGCATCCGTCCTGGGCGCTTCACACACTCCGAAACCTCAGCTCCGCTCTCCTCTCCATCACCCCTAGCACCAGCGACACGGAGCACAATGGGCGACGACACATATCTGATCGCGCTGAACTGCGGCTCGTCCTCGATCAAGGGCCGGCTGTATGTCGTGCCGCACAGCAAGAAGGAGAAGTTCGAGCAGCAGGCGACGCTGAGCGTCAGCAACATTGGTGCGCCCGGCGAGCCGATCCACTTCACGCTCAAGTGGAGCGACAACAAGGGCAAGGACATGGACATCCACACGGACGACGGAGGGAGTGTCGAGCGTGAGTCGCAGAGGCTACCGAGGACCTCTATACTATATTCGGAACAATCACCTCTCCGGGGGATATCGATCGTGAAGCTGACAGACAGACAAGGACCTGTTCCCGCGCATCCTGGACCACCTGTCCGGCTCTGGCGGTGTGAAGAAGGACCAGATCCGCTACGTGACGCACCGTATTGTGCACGGCGGTGAAAACAAGAAGCCCCTCGTCGTGACGAAGGAGCACCCCGAGGCGCTAAAGGACATGGACAAGCTCGGCGAGTTTGCCCCGTTGCACGTGAGTTGTGCTGAGACTCCGGTGGGAGGAAAGTCGCTGACAGTCAGAACTACCACGCCATCCTCGGCGTCCGTGCTTGCCTCGACGTGCTGCCTGAGAGCAAGAACCTGCTCTGCTTCGACACGCTGTTCCACGTGAGTCTGCTCGAGAGGCTGAGAAGATCACGAGACTGACGCCCTTTGTAGCAGACCCTCCCGCCCGCTGTGTACAAGTACTCCCTGCCGCCGACAAAGGTTAAGACCGTGATCCCATTGCGAAAGTACGGCTTCCACGGACTCTCCTATGCGTCAATCACGCACACGCTCTCGAAAGAGCTCGGGCGACCCGCGAACCTCGTCGTATGTCACTTAGGATCCGGCTGCAGCGCCGCCTGCATCCACGAGGGCAAGAGCATCGACACGTCGATGGGCCTGACGCCGCTCGAGGGTCTCGTCGGCGGAACGCGCACGGGTTCGATCGACCCCACGGCCATCTTCCACCACACGCCCGACTACGCCGAGATGGTGCCCGAGCTGCACGTCAACAAGGCCGAGTACATCATGAACAAGAAGTCCGGCCTTCTAGGTCTGTCGGGCACGACCAACTTTGGCCACATTTGCGAGCGCAAGGCTGCCAACGTCGGCGACGTTCTGGGCAAGAATGAGAAGAGCGACGGGTTCAAGGTAACCAAAGAGGATAAGGAGAACGCGGCGGTCACGTACGACGTGTTCCTTGACCGGCTCATGGCGTATTTGAGCCAGTACGTCATGAAACTCGCGTACGAGACGGGAGGCGTAGAGAAGATTGACGGGATCGTGTTCGCGGGCGGGATTGGGGAGCACTCGGCCGAATTGCGCAGGGATGCGATCGGACGGCTCGGCGTGCTCGGCGTCAAGATTGATGAGAAGAAGAATGAGGCTGGCGTGCCCGAGGGCAAGACTCAGGTGCTCGTCAGCACCGGCGACAGCAAGGTCAAGGTGTACATTGTCCTCACGGACGAGGAGGGGTGGACGGCGCACATGGCGCGCGAGGTGTTTGACATATAGACTAGAGCAGGGATGTGATAAGATAGGAAGTCGGTGAGCACGAGCGCTTCTCTCAGGGCAACGCCTATCGCCAGCAAGCGAACGGTCAGTGTGATCAGTGGTAGCTGTTAGATCTGGCAGTCTCGCGGAGAGACAAACCAGAAAACGAGACAGGATGAGGCGGAATCTAGTGCATACAAGCGACGAGTCGCGTCGAGATAGATGTTACAGTCATGTAGGTTTGTGATTATTGTCTGGTTGCAGAGTTCGAGATTGCTTAAGCCTTGCGCGCCGGCTCGATGCCCTCGGTCGCGTTCAGAGCCTCCTTGCGACAGCTGTTGAGGCCGCCAGCCTTGCACGCCTTGCACGTCGAGGGGTTGCTGGGAGTCAGCTGAGTTTCCCACAATGCGACAGCTGTTTCCTGTACTCTCTGCCCGCCAACGCGATGGTCCTGTAGATCTGCGGCCGGCCCACCCTCCGTCCTTCGAAAAGACGAGAGACCGCCAGTTGGCGTGAAGATCAACGCCTTGAATGGTAGAGACGGCGGCGCAGCAGCGCACCGACGCAACACCGAGGTCCCACCTCGGCGAGCAGAGAACACAATAGAATCAGAGCAACAACTCACCCAGTACACTCGGTGGAGACGCAGCAGCCGCAGCCCTGGCACGCCTCACAGTTGCCCGGGTTGGCAGTGCAGCCACGGCACTCGGTCTTGGCGCAGTGATCGCCGGTGTGGACCTTGGCCTCGCCAGTCTGGTTGTCAGCTTGTACCGTCTCCGCGCAACTTACGCCGCAGAAGCCGCACGAGTTGGGGTTGCCGGTGCACTCAGACATTGTTGATGGTAGACGAGGGGTGTAGAGCGTAGAACGTAAAGCGAAATGAGAGCGCGGAGCGAGAGACGAGCTTAGGTTGTGATGGGTGTGGGTGAGTGGAGACAACAAAGGAGGGAGTGAGTTATATACTGCCTGCGAGTCCGAGCCTATGATGTAACCCGCTATCAGCGGTTGGTTGCGGAGTCGGCCGGGGTAGGACTGGGTGACCGCTGGCTGGGGCCGCTGGAAGCCGCTGGATATGGTGGAAACAGTGGAATGTCATGTCCCGCAGCCAATGGCAGCGCTTGGATATGTCAGCTGAACTCGGGGGCTGACTCAAGCGTCAGGGCGAAGGTCTGGGGGCGTATTTTGGCCACTGGCAGCGCTGCTGATTGTCAGCTGCCAGCATAGCGTGCGTGTCAGGCGCCGATCTCCGTCACCAGATGGGTGATCAAGATTACGTAAACAGTCACTGGCTTAGCGTTGCAAGATTCAACTCAGTGCAAAATATCGCAAACAGCCCCGATTCGGTGCTAACTCGGGCAACTCAGTGCAAAAATGCTGAACTATGTTCTGTCCGAGTTTGAAGCATGAAGCGTGCAATCTGAGACAGCTGGCTGGGAAAGAGTAATAAGAGTGGCTCGACGGGGTTCATCACAGGCGGGGTGGGTCGAGATTACGTAAAACGACACTGACCCTACGTCTGAACTATAGCTCGGTGCAAACTATCGCAAACAGCCCCGATTCGGTGCTAACTCGGGAAGCTGGGTGCAAACCTGATCAACTATATCCTGTCCAAGTTTGAAGCGTGCAGCATGCAATCTGAGGCAGCTGGTTGGGAAAGAGTGATAAGAGTGGCTCCACGGGGTTCATCACAGGTGGGGATGGTCAGAATTACGTAAACCGCCACTGACTCTGTGATGCAAGATTCTACTCGGTGCAAAACCACCGCAACCAGCCCCGATTCGGTGCTAACTCGTGCAACTCGGTGCAAATATGCTGAAGTATGGTCTGCCTAAGTTTGAAGCACGCAGCATGCGTCTTTAGACAGTCAGGTGTGAAAAAAGCGTTGAGAGGGCACAATGAGCCAAATTACGTAACCTCGCAACGATCCTTGTCACGTGCTTTCAGTCACGTGCCGCACGCGTTCCACACGTTCTGAGTTCTCCCACGCCCACCCCCATCCTTATCGCCCAGCCAACCTTGGCTTCTCGCTCGGCTAAGTTGGACGCGTACCTGCGTGTACCTACCCCGCACCTTCATCACAGGTACAACCCTCCCATCTCCATTCGGATCATTAGATATCGGGATTACTCCGCAACATGCTCTCAACAGCTGTCGCCGAGCACGGAGATTACCTCCAGACACTGTGGACGGACTATGCACGGCCGTAATGCGTAGGGCTCGCAGTGAGATGGAGTGGAGGGTATGCCCCGCGTTGGCCCCGCGCATCTCCGCTTGGAAGACGACGCCGAGGGGACGGATGTCTCAGCCAAGCTTGTAGACTTGTTAGCCAGGCGGTGTCTTCGCCTGTAGGCGAGCGCCGCCAAGCCTGGTGTACGTTGCTGCACTGGAAAAGCCATGCTCGCACGGAGAAGTCGTACCTACGTACTGTCTCTTGTCCGCTCCGAACGGCTGTAGACCAGTGCTCTCTGCTATGAAGTTCCAACTTCGCTGTCAGTCGTATGTTCGTTGCTGGCCACTGCTGCTCGCTCGCGACGCTGCGCGTCGCTCCGCTCCACCGTGCTATGCTAGATAGTTCATGCCCAAACTTATCGTTAAAATGTGGTGTACAACTGAAGTTGCTTGTTTTGTATGGAGGGGGAAGCTAGATTTGCTACGCTTCAAGAGCCGCTGCACGCTTAAGCGTACTGCTTCTTGAGGAACTTGGCAATGGTCTCGAGCTGGATGTTCGAGGTGCCCTCGTAGATGGCACCAATCTTCGAGTCACGCCAGTACTTCTCGATACCGGTGTCACGGGTGAAGCCGACACCACCGCACCACTCGATGGCGGAGCCGGCGGCGCGCTGGGCGACGACCGAGGCGAAGTACTTGGCCATGGCGGCCTCCTTGGTGAACTCGCGGCCCTCCTCCTTGAGACGGGCGGCGTTGTAGGTCATGAGCTTGGCGGCCTCGATCTGGGTGTGGATGTCGGCGAACTGGAAGCCCATGCCCTGGAAGTCACCGACGGCCTTGCCGAACTGCTTGCGCTGGTAGGTGTAGGGGAGAGCGCGCTCGAAGGCACCCTGGGCAAGACCGATCATCTGGGCGGCGATACCGATACGGCCCTCGTTGAGGATCTGGATGGCAATCTTGTAGCCCTTGCCGACCTCACCGACAATGTTCTCCTTGGGGACCTTGATGTCGTCGAAGTTGAGGACACAGGTGGACGAAGCACGGATACCGAGCTTCTCCTCCTTCTTCATGATCTCGACGCCCATGTCCTTGGAAACGGCGAAGCAGGTGATACCCTTGTAGCCCTTGGAGGGGTCGACGTTGGCGAAGACAAGGAAGGTCTCGGCCTCACCAGAGTTGGAGATCCACATCTTGGTGCCGTTCAGGACGTAGAAGTCTCCCGAGGGGTCGAGCTTGGCGGTGGTCTGGAGACCGAAGGCGTCAGAGCCGGCTCCGGGCTCAGTAAGACAGAAGGAGCCGACCTTCTCCTGGGCGAGGCCAGGGAGCCACTTCTCCTTGATGGCGTCCGAGCCGTGGTGGCGGACGACGGTGTTGACGAGAGTGTTGTGGACGTCGACGAGGACGGCAACCGAGGGGTCAACACGCGAAATCTCCTCAACGGCAATGATAGCCGAAGTGAAGGAGCAGCCGGCACCACCGTACTCCTCAGGGATCTCAATACCCATGAGCTGTGGAACTAGTTAGCCGAAGCTCATCGGATCAAGGAAAACTAGGGCGGGAAGCCATGGCGCGGCAAGTTCCGCTTTCAGAAGTGACAGCTTCGTGCTCGGCGCCCGGCACGAAACCTGTCGGTCTTCATCGGCGACCTAGCGCGTGCACACCATGGATTCGCCCTAGCGAGTGGTACTTACACCGTTGTCGAAGAGGCCCTGGATGAGCTCGGGGTCCATGATCTCCTTCTCGTCCATCTCGCGGACACGGGGCTGGATGACCTCGTCGGCGAACTTCTTGACTGGGAGTGTTAGCTAGAAGCCCATGAAAAAGCTAGGGGCGCAGGGATGGCCGCGGGACAGCGAGAGAGCGCGGTCGGGGAAGGTGTACCGAGAAGCGAGGCGCCAGCGAGCTCTAGCTCGCCGACCACCTGTGCTCCTCGGCATCCAGCTCCTCAGCTCGCTGCTTCTACTCTCGAAACCCTCGCAGCGCCCTCGGCGAGCAGAAGAGATACCTACCGGAGTCACGGAGCATGTTCTCCTCCTCGGTGAAGTTCCAGAGGGACTGTCCCTTCTCGACGGTGGGGTAGTCGTTCATGCGGCCGGCGGTGGCGGAGAAGGCGCGGGCGTTGGCGACGCGCGAGACGCGGGTGGCGGTGCGGAGGCTGCGGGCGAACATTGTGGTGGGTGTTTTGGTTGAGAGGGGAGGGAGATAGGGAAGAAGAGAGGGAGAGATGGGGATGGGGGGCCGGGAGGTAGTTTATATAAAAGTCTCGGTGTGGTGTGGTAGCGCAGGCAGGCGGGGCTGAGGCTAAAGTGGTAAGAAGACGCGAGCCGAGGAGCGCAGGGCCAGGCGGGCGTGTGGAGGAAGGGTCTCGAGGTCCACGTTGTGGTGCGGGCGAGGATAGGCGATTTGGGATTTGCGCGAGGCCAGCGAGGCCAGCGAGGCCAGCGAGGCTGGGAGTCTGCAGTAGTGTGCCCAGGATGCCCAGGATTTCGAACCAGGGCCCCCATACCGGCCGTACAAAGAGGATGAGGGGCTCTCTCTCGCCTAAAGTCTCAAGGGGTGGTGTAGCCGATTCCTCAGGGCGCACCCGCGCGTAAAGCCTTCCCTCCAGCGCAGCCAGCACCAAGAGGTAAAGGTCCGGCCTCGACATAGCCGGATCCTGGTGCGTCTGTGATTGGCGAGCCCCAGGGTGCAACCCGGGCGTGTGCCTAGCATCGATAGTCCACTCCTCTGCGAGCTCTGCGGCATCCCCAATCCCCCAAACTCGACCTCTGGAGCCCATGGACCGCCCGCATCGCCCGCATCGCGCGCCGGAGGATGCGCAGACGATGTCATTCGGCATTCCGTTTCTACCCGCGGAGTCATCCCAGCTGGGCAGCTGATCGCCCGGTCTGTCCACATGCAAAATCAAGCGAGCCGTTCCTATCCTCTGCTTCTCTGGCCACTCAGAGCCGCCCTCACATCCCTCGATCTGCGATCGATCGGTGTATCTCCTCTCGTCTCTCTGTCTTTTTAGCGCGACGCGCTCTGAGCTGTTGGGGCGGACGCGTCGTGCTCAGCACTCTCAGCTCTTGGGCTTGGCCGGGCATGGCGTCGATCATAGGCCGCTCACATCAGGACTGTGCTCCTGATTCGCTTCTGCTGCATAGCGCTGCATGCTTGCATTGCACCTCTCCACAGATCCACAGCATGCTGACCACCAGCTGGTCAGTCTCAGGTTCAGCGTGAAAAAGTAGCGGCCGGCGATGACGCGCCTGCCATAGCAGTAATCTCGGCACTCGCGGTAGATCCTCGGATCATGCCCTCCCCCTCTCTTTACCCGTTTTTTCGAATCCGCACTGAAGCGGCAGACTGGGGACAATCACGTGACGCCACCTTGTGCTTGGTGCTCGAGTATCTCTTAATTCTGTCTAACGCCGCACTGCCCCGCCGACAAACCACCTCATACCCCGCACTCCCCTTCTCGGACCTCGCTTATCAGCCGCATTCTGCCCCGGTTTTCGCCCCTCCTCTGGCTCTCCCTCCGATGTCGGCTAGCCGAACCCGACCATACCGGTCTCTGTGGGTCAGAGATGGACCTGCGATGGGTGCGGGAAATCCTCGGATCCCAGTCCAAATCTGATAAGCCTGTTGTTGACGGGAAAAATTGTTGGGGCAGCATTGTGTGCATGTCAGCGAGAGCGTCGGATCTGCAGCGATGTGCTGGGCAACCTGAGCAGAAGCGCATAGATTACAAGCTGTTGATACATACACACATCTCTTCTCGTCCCTATCGCTACACCATGTATCCGCTTGCTCCACACAAGAAGCCGGACGTCGACTAATCCGTCAAGGTCATCACGCTCGGTACGCGATCGCAGACCCACGCCAACTCGTCCTTCAGCTCGCGCATCCACAGCCCGTACTCTTCCTTCGCGATCACGCCAACAATCCTGCCCCTGTACAGCCTACTCGCGGACACGAGCTCGTTCAGGCAGCGGAATACGAACGCCTTTGTCGAGACTTCAGTGTGTGTGTCCTCGAGCACGGAGCGCAGATTCCCGAGCACCAGCGAGAGGAGCCTCTGCCGACGGGCAAGGAACAGGCTGCGTGTAATGGGTCCGACGACCTCCGGCTCTGGCTCGGGGGCAGCCGCACCGATCGTAAAGTCGCCCGAGGCGTCGATGGGCGGTGGAGACGGCGAGTGAACAGGAGGGTGGGAAGGAGGGTCCGGAGCGCTGAAGACGGAGGGCGCGCCACGGAACAGCGGATCGGTACCCACGCCCGGCAGAGAGAGCAACGCCTCGAGATACTTGTGCTCGGTAGAGATACGCGTCGCCGTGATCGATTGGAAGAACAGCAACGCATACTCTTCCCGGTACGCGCGATACGAGGCTGGATCGGCCGACGCCACCGTACTCATGAACTGCAGGCCAACCTGGATGCGGCCGTACACTGACGACAGACGGGCCCATGATTGCGAGCCAAATGAGCCAACGTACAAGCTCCAGTCCTGATCGTCAGCTAACGTCACCTAAGGTCGACGCTCGATTTACTCACGGCTATTCCATGCTCCACCACGACGATACCAGCGCAGTCGCTCCAGCACTTGGTCAGCTTGCCGACGAGCACAAGACGCTCTCGCTCCCGTTCGCGTTCCGTCTCGTCATCGGCGTCGGTCGGTAGCATGTCGCTCAGCAAGCGATAGATCTTGGGGCAGATGACGTCCATGATGATGCGCGCAAACTCGGCGTCCATCTTCTCGATCGGATCCTCCTCCCGTTGGCCGGCGTCGCCCAGGTCTGCACCGCCGAGCAGCTCGAGGTCAATGTCGTCAAACTCGAATCCGAGCGAGGGGTAATCGTCACTCTCTGCACGCTTTAGATCGCGCGCCTTCTTCGCCTTCTTCGGCAGTGCAGCCGCGCGTGCGTCGAGGAACGCTTGAATCGTCGACACGATCTCGAGCCCGGACTTGAAGTCCTTTGCAAGGTCGAGCTCGAAGACACGCCCCGTCCATGACTCGTGCAGTAGCGCCGGGTCGGGGTAGACAGGTTCGTCGCGCGGCGTGTACGACGCATGCAAGATGATTTGTCGGAAGCACGTCACGACGAGCACCATGGTGCGCTCGATCTCAATGCGGCGGGGGAAGAATCCTTGCTGGATGTACGTAGGCTTCTTCACCTTCTCGAGCTCGGCCTGCAGGATCGCCAACATCTCGGCGAGCTTGCCGACGACGCCGTCCAGCGCATGGCCGTGGTGACGACAGGCTACTGCGAGATACATCAGACCGCGGATGCACACTTGACGCGACTCAAAGTCGGCAGCCTCGAACGAAAGCCACTTGGCGCTGTTCGCGAGCAGCCACGGCAACAGGGCCGGTGAGAAGTAGCACGCGACAACCATCGTCGAGTACCGGTTGATGAGAGCGCCGAGCTGTCGGGGTGTCGGCGGTCGCTCACGCGAAAACGGAACAGCGCTGAGAGGGAAGATACTCATAATCAGACGCTGCACGTCGCGCTCCGCTTGGTGCGCCTCTGTCAGCTCCTCAGCGCACCCAATGAGGTCGCTCGCCGCGACCGCCGCTAACCGCAGGTACAGCTCGAACGCAGATGCCCGCTTCGTGTCCTCCGTTGCTGTCAGTGAGAAGTCGAAAGCTGAGATGAAAGTTGGGAAGTCGGCGGCGGGCTCCGTCGGGAGATTGCGCTGCTGCCGCTCCTTGAAGATCATGCCGAGATCGCGGGTCGCGACGGAGAAGCTCGATCGGTCGAATGACCACTGCCAAGTTGATGACAGGCGGAGGCACCTCGCGACCATCGTCTTGATGTAGCGATCACGGCCGAGGAGCTGATCGCGGTGCGCCGCCTCCTCAACCTCGAGCGAGTGCGTGACCTTGATCAGACCTAGGGCACGCTTCACGAGCGACCATCGAGGACTGGGCACATAGTCCTTGTCAACCGAGCCGTCGTGGCTGAACTGTGAGATGGCACAGAGGCCGAAGACGAGGAACCACACGCGCTCCGCGGCCAGCGGGCCAAGCTCATTTTTGTACCGCTGCTCGAGAGCGTCGCCAATCGCGGTTCCGTACGTGTCCTCCTTCTCATGCAGAGCGTCGAAAGAAGCGAGAGCATGACCCACTGCAACCCAAACACCGACAGTAGGATCCCTAATCTCCGGCGAGTCCGAGTCACCTCGCAGCAAGCGCTTGAGCGGCCTCACGGTCCGGTCAAAGCCGTACGTGAGGAGCAGGCTGATTACAGTGGACGCCGCGGAGATGACACCAGGCGAGTTGGTGACGACAGTCAACTCCAGGAGCGCATAGCGCGCGAGCAGGAGCTGGTGCATGAGCGGCCTGTCCTCCTTACGGCCAGTAACCGAAACAGAGTTCAGGCGCTCCGCAAACGTCGTGAAGAATGTGAAGATGGTTATCTGCGTGTCCTCTGGCTTTTGGGCGAGGTAGTCACGGAAGAACACGAGCGGGGTAAAGTCAGGCGGAGCAGAGTTGACATCGTCAGCGAAGCGCACGACCTGGTCGTAGATCCCGTCGAGCACGATAGGTAGTACGGCGGTGACTTCGTCAGTCGACATCTCCGAGTGCAGGTGCACGCCGCTTGTGCGGAGGGGCTTCAGCTCCTCGGCCTGTCCACTAAGCACGTCGATGAGAGCATTTAAGCGGCCACTGCCGGGAATTGTGTCGCATGAAAGAAAGACACCGGTCGGCAAAGGCTGAATGTCAAAGTCGATCGGAAACTTGTCAAAGTTGGCCCATGACCTCGCCCTTCCTACTCCCTCGTCAACCTGCTCCTTCGTCACTTTCGGGGGAGGCGGAGCAGGGGCCGGAGGCGGCGTGAGTGTCGTCTGGATTGGACGGCGCGCGCCCTTCGACTGCACCCGCTGGAAGGGTCGGTTTGTCCGCCCGATCGGGTCTGCGGGCCGGGGCGTCGGCGACTTCTCAGCGATGATCTCAACCTCAGACTCGCTCTCGAAAGCAAACTCATCCGTTGCGAAGATGACATGATCGTCGAGGCGGATGGCAGGTCTTGTAGCTGTGGGCCTCTTTCGACCTTCGGAACGGCCGGCAGAGCGCTGCAGATCGGAAGAGCGTCGTGTAGGGGCTCTTGCGGGCGGCACCAGGCTCCTCGACCGGGAAGTCAAGCCGCGTCTGTATAAGCCGACCCGTTGACGAAAGAACACTCCTTCGGTGCTTTGAGAAGCCGAGCGTGGGACGGCGCTGTCTCTTCGTTCGGGGCTGACCTGCGAGGTCCTTCCTCCGAGGTGCTGGCGTGGGTCGTCCTCGGACAATGGACTCGAAGTCACCTCGTTGCAGGCGCGCGAGAGCGTCGTTCGGGCGGTTGTCCTCCATGGCCTCGAAGCCATCAGAGCTACTGTCAGATGAGACGTCGATGGGGCCATCAGCGTCGGAGCCGTCGGAGCCGTCGGATCCTTCCTCCGCAGCAAGGTCGACAATCTGCGGGGCACTCTCTTCCTCGTCAGAGTCGAAGAGGTCTGCCATATCGTCAAGTCCGCCGCCTCCTCCGCGTCGCACGACAGCATGTCCTGGTCGGACGGGAGACCTGGTGCGACTCCGTGCTCGTCTCTGCTTCCCTTCCTGCCTGCGGCGTTCTCGCTCGCGTGCATCTTGCTCCAGACGCTTCAGCATCACACCGGGCAGCATACGCCGCGCGATCTTCTGCCGCTTGTCGCGAGGAGCTGGAGCGGGGGAGGAGCAATCGTCGTCACTGTCAGCACTGGAGCTTGAGGGAAGGCGTCTCCGCTTCACCGCCGAGGTGGACCTGGAGCTGCGGCCGCGGAACTCAGGCTCATCATCGTCGTTGTCGTTGTTGACTGGTCCGGGGGAAGGCGTATTGATGTCATCGAAGAATGCAGCACCCATGTCCATGTCGAGTTCCATGCCGTCACCACCGAACACATCAGGCGAAAGAGGCGTAGGCAGTGCTGATGCTTCGCGATGAGGAGGGCCCTGGCTCAGAAGCGGAGCCGCATCAGAGTCGGGAGATAGTGTCACGCGAACGGGAGCGATAGGCAGAGCTTCCTCCTCTGGTGGATCGGACAGCGGAGAGTCAGAGTCGCTGCCCGCACGATCTCTAGCCTCGCGATGGCGACGACTGTAGGTCATGGTACGAGGTGTCTTCCCCGTCTTCCCTTTGCTCTTGGCCAGAGTCGACTTCTGTGCTTGCGGTGTCTTCTCACGCTGCTTGCGAGTTGCATGTTGGGTGGCAGGCCGCTTACGCGCATCTTTGTCCTTCGGGGTATCGCCGCGCGGGCGAGGTGGAGGCGCGCGGTTGGCGAGATCTTCACCCCTCCGTTCGCCGAGGAGAGCCTCAAACTCTCTGCGCTCCCTTTCAGCGCGTCGCGCAGCCCTTTTTGCCTCCTTCTCGGCGCGGAGTCGCTTTCGAGCAATCTTCTGCAATTCCCGCTGAGCCGCATCATCATCCTCTGCAGCGGCTTCACCGAACTCAAGGAGGTACTCGTCAATGTCGGCGTCAACGAGCTCGACAGGCGGGCGAGATCTGCACTGCTTCTGCTGCTGCTGCCTCTCCTGCGTTCCTCCAATGACAATCGCGTCCGGAGGCGTGACGTCCTCGTCGGAACTTTGGTCGCTGGCGCCTTCCTCCTCTTCATCGATGTCAGACGCTTCCTTGACCTCTCTGAGCGGGGCGATTGCGCGCTTGCTCTTTGCAAGACCGCCACGCTTGAGGGCGCGCTCGTACATTTGTCGCTCGCGAGTGTATGGCTGAAGCTGAAGAGCTGTTCGGTTGCGGAACGTTCGCGCGAAGCGAAATTGGAGCAGAGCTGGGTCGGCAGGACCATCGCTTTGCCGAGACCGATGAGAGCGTTGGGAAGCCGGGATGCGCAAGTCTGCTCGCAGCAGACTACTGCGCTGCGATGCGCCTGGTGGCGACGATGGTCGAGCTCGCGCGCTCGGAGGCGCCGGCGGTTGACTTGGGGCCGATACCAAAGAGGGAGGAAAGAGCACAGCATCCTGCCTCTGCGGTGCGTCCACAGACTCAATCACCGGGATGGCCTCGCCAGCGGGCTGAGACTCGTCGTAAGCGTCAGGAAGTGGCTGATCAGCTGCAACATCATCTTGCCCCTTCTCAGGTTGGAGGGAAGGTCGCGGGGGTGACTGCGAGCGAAGGTCTGGCCGTTCCGACGTGGATATATCATCCCCCTGCTTGCCCTCAGCTGTTTTCTGAGCGACGTCTATCTCCATGGGCTGGTGCGGAGATGAAAGGTGAGCATGCGACTCGTCCTCCGTAGCATGTTCGTGTTCAGACGCAATTTCCGGCAACGCCGGTGCCGGATCGTCGAAGAAGTCTAACGGGTCTTGAGAGTCGAGCGGTTTGGGCAGGGAGAGAGATCGATAGATGGGGGAAGGGCCTTCCGGGGTTGGCGAGATCCGGATATCCTCGGCTTCGCGTGGTCGGGCTTCAGGAGATTGATGCGGCGGAGATGCTGGTGGATGTGGAGAAGGATCTGGCGGAGCCTGCCGCGGAGAGGGGATAGACTGGGGCGCAGGTTGAGGAGATAGTGGAGACTCTGGGACATCTTGTTGAATCTCTGGCGGTCGAGCTCGTGGGGGCAGCTGAGGAGAGTCTGAAACGCCATCAACAGTCGTCTGGATCGGCAGACGCTCGTCGTCCTCCTTCTCCAGAGTTCGAGACGGTGACAAGGGTAGAGTCGTTGGTGTTTGAGCTTTCAGGCTCGCACTTTCATCTCCGAATTCATACGCCCGCTCCTTACCCTTGCGCGATGGAGTTGGTCTTGGCGTCAACGAGCCCGATGATGGCGGGGACGAACTCCAGCCTCCAGATCCGTATGACTCCTGCGAGCTGAAGAGAAGTTGGAACTGTCGGGGGCGAGGACTCGGAGACAGCGGGGGTAAGTTCGAAGCAGAGTGTATCGGGTTTGGCGACGGCGACGGCGGGAGAGAGGGGGAAGCGACTGAACGTAATCGCGATGGTTGCCTGGAGCGACTAACTGTCGACGGAACAGAATCGGGCGATAAGATTGACGTATTCACACGCACGACGACTTCCTCTTCGTCGTCGTCGTAATGAATCGTGGGGAACCCAGGGGGCCTCGTCGCTGCTCGGGATGGTCCAGCCTCGCTCTGCTGGTCAGCACTCTCCAGGCACACCATCACACACACACGAAACACTCACCTCATGCTCTAATCGCTCGACGGCCCTTACAGCCCTCCATGCATCGTACTCTTCGTCGTCGCTTGGTGGAATCAGGTCGCTGGGTCCTCCCTCTTTGGCAGCCTCCTCCAGTCCACGGAAAGGTCGGTGATGTCGAGTTCGGTACGGGGAAGGCCCTGCGCCGCCACCGGCCGTAGACTGAGCGGCAGCCCGGCGGCGCGTCTGGCGTTGAGTCGTTGACGGCGGGGTAGAGGCTGCTCCGCTTGTACTTGGCGACACTGCCGGACTTGCGCTTCTTGCAGCCTGTGTACTCTGGCGACCGCCGCGGGTGCGCTTCCGCGGCGGCATGTTGGTTGTATGTGGGTGGTCTTGAAATCGTCCACTCAACAACACGCGTCAAAACAAGTCATGTACGGTTGCTTTTGGTCCCGCCGACGCGTTGACACGCGACTGATATCTGATGTCGCCGAGATCGCAGTATGGCATTCCATGCACAATCTTGTAAGCACCTTGGACTATCTCTCCTGCATATGACATTGATATCTGATATGCTATGAATGTGATACAACCACTAATTGGTAGCGGAACGTCCAAATCCTATTGTAACGGATGAAAGGAGCAAGAGCGAAAAGCAAAAAAGCAAAGGTCTGTATCAAGAACAGGTTTTGTAGGACAACAGAACAGCATTAATTACCGATGGCACTGGCGATACCGAGGCGTGTCGCTGCCAACATGCCAAGTAGAGACAGGTGGGGTCGCCGGTCGAGGGTGTGTGACTAGGCAGCGTAAACATTTTAAGCGTTCGTGTAGCTTCATGATCTTTTGGATTCTTCTGATCCCCTCTCCCTATCTCCAAGGGAGCTCCCGCAGATTACGCGGCCTATGCCTCCGTCTCGATGCCTGAAGTGCGACGGCTCAGCATTCCAAGGTTGAGGCTAACCTTTTTGCGGACGGACGACGCAAAATTCTTGTCGGACAACTCGTCGGCAGAGTGTGGCGGTCCGTAAGGCTGGCGCATGACAGCGCTCACTGGTGTAGGCTCCACAACGGGTACACGAGACGCAAACTTGTTTGGGCTCAGCTGTGGTGAAGAGAAGGAATGGGATCGGGGTGCGGGCGCATGGTAGCCCCAGTCGAAGTACGTTGCGGGCTCCTTGATCGTGTGGTCGGACTCGGATGACACCTTCCTGGACTCGACGCTCCACTTTCGCTCGCTTGCCGTTGACATGGTCGAGAAGCGAGATTCGACCGACCACTTCCGCGTGTTCTGCGAGCTCTGAGTGCTGCTTGATCCGCTGCTGAAGCGGTTGACCTGCGACGGGTGCTCCGAAGTGGGAGAGTTGGCGAGGGTCTCAGACAGAGACAAAGCCGATTCATTATCGTCATCGATCTGGCGGTACCGGCTCAACAGGGCGGTCAGGGGAGGAGCACCGGGCGCGGCAGCTTGAGCGGCGGCGAGATCCTGCCGAGTCCGTGCAAATCGTCCGAGAGGCTGCTGAGGGTATGTTGCCGTCACAGGTGATGAAGCGCGGGAGCTGGCGATCGTCGACGTGGATGATGTGCGCGGAGGGGCATTCCAAGACCACTCTCCCGCCGACATCGATCCCTTACGAGAAGAGGACGTCCATCCCACTCCGGTGGCAGAGTCAATGGGTGGCGAGATCATGGGTGCATTCGGGGCGTTTTCGAAGGCCGCCCTCAGTTGCTGATCGTTGAGAGGACTCATCGGCCGCGACCGAGATCGCTCGCGCTCCCGTTCCCGCTCGCGACGCAATGTGCCAGCCTCGAGCTGCGAAGCAATCGTGTGACGTTGCGAGGGGTGACCAACGACATGGCCTCCGGTGACTGCCGCATACTGTGCCTGCAGAGCAAGGATCTGCTGTTGCAACGCCTGCTGATACGACTGTGCGTTGATAGCAGCCGCCCGCTGCTGGAGAGCTGCCGCGGCGTTTGACTGCGCGAGGGCGTTGGCATTCATCTGTGCTCTCTGCAGGTCGAGGAGAGCCATCGCCTCGCGCAGTTGCTGCGGATCGCTGGCAGCATTCTGCAAGAGCACCGCCTGAATGGCGGCAGCTTGCTGGGCCGCCGCGGCCTGCTGCTGCTGCTGTTTGAGGATCTGCAGCTGAAGCAACTGCTGTTGTGCTTGAACCTTACGCTGCAGGTCCGTCGACGACGACTGGGTCGACAGGGTCCGTCCACGCTGGCTCGTGTAATGAAAACTGTGACTCCGGCGACCACCCCTGTCGATGCCCAGGGCAGCCATCTTGGCAGCGATAAAGTCCGAATCGTCGCCGTCTTCCTCGTCGCTGAACGTCGGTCCGAGAGTATGCGATCCAGAGTTCCTGAAGGCGAGGTGGAGGTTGCCGTTCGACGGAGAAGCATGCAATGGTGGGGGAGGAGGCGGAGCTAACGGAGTCGCAAGCGGGGTAGCCACCGGTGTGACAATGTTGGCTAATCGTGGGGGAACATCGAGAGTGGGTGTGAATCCAGGCGGCAACACCGGCGGAAGCTGGGGGGCTGCCTGCTGGTTCCGGAAGCGCGGAGCAGTGTTGTTGAGGGCGCTCATCGCTTGATCATAGTATGGTTAGGGGGGTGAAGGCGACGGGAAGGCGTCGAGAATGTTGAACAGTGTTCGTTCTTTTCAGATGATATCGAGCAGTGATCAGAGGCGTCGCTCAGCAACAGATGGAGCACCACAACGACCCAGAATCAGAGACAAATCGAGGCGGCCCGTAAGTCGGAGGGTAGAGGTCGTAAAGAGAATTGTTCCTTGCGGAAGACAGACAGGAAAAGTTCGTAATATGATGGAACTGATGAGGTAAAGATTAGACGAGGACGGACGTTCAGAACAGGGTAGGTGGGATGTGTAAAAGCTTGCGTGCGTGGGGCGTGGCCGAGATTGATTGTTGAGATCGTAGAGCTTGGAGTTTACAAGCTGTGTAGAGGAGGAGAGGTAGATCAATGATTACAATGGCGAGGAGAACAAGGAAGACAGGACGAGCAAGGAAGTCGACAGCCGTGCGCGAAGAATAGGCGGTAGGGAGGGATGAAACGCGGTCGAGGACACTTGCGTTTCGTTTTGCAGGTGAGCTCAGTTCTAGAGCGCGAAGGAGATGTCGGAGGGTGCAGGCTTGACTGAAGTGCGGGCGTGCGGGACGGAACGCTGCAGTTGAGGCAGGTGCGTGCAAAGAACGAAGATCGGGGATCGAGGACCGGCTCTGGGTCTAGATCTTGTGCTTGCACTGGATCTCGGCAGCGCCTGCTGGGGTTGAGGGGGTCGAGGAGACGGAAGGAAGCGAGAGGGTCAGGAGAGAGCGAGAGAAAGAAAAGATACAAGAGATTGTTGGTGCGAGTGTGCGTTCGTGCGTTCGAGCGCCAGGTTGCAGGCCGAAGAACGGTACAGTGGGCGGGGGCGCGGTGTGCGGCGAGCGGGGCGAGGCCGGCGACCTGAGAACGATGAGGGTCTGGCCTGACAGAAGTTGAGGGTGATGGTGTTGGGATACAGGGTTGGGCCCAAGGCGAAGGGGTACGGTACAGGGCGATTGTGAGGAAGGGAGAGAGGGTGAGGGTACAAGGGTATGAAGGTGTGCAGTATGAGGGTCGGGTTCAGAGGCAGAAGCTTTTGGCCCTGCAGATGCGCCAGCGCAGGAGTCGTGCACAAGCAAGAGGCGAGCAGCACAGATGCACGGTTGGCCAAATGCAAGGTGGGTGATGGAGGGGCAAAAAAGCTTGACAAGAGTGTGCACTGTGGGGGGAGGCGACGGCAGGGCGGCGAGAGGGAGGGAGACGAGCGAGGATCAGTGGGTGTGCCGACTGGAGACTTCTGGGCGGGCGTTTCACTGGTCAACTGCCAGGGCCATTCAGGACTAGCGCGCACCGGGCCATTCAAGCGCGCGCCTGCCTGGCGGGGCCAGACACCAGACAGACCGGCCCTCTCCCTGGTGGCCCCTGGTACTGTCACTTGGTCACCAGGCCAGTGGACTGGGGACCTGGGGCTCACCATGCTGGCGTCGCAGTGGCGTGAGCTGGCTGGCCGGTTGGTGACCTGGCAGAACTGGCTGGACCCAAGAAAGAAGAGACGAAAGGGACAGGGACAGGGGTAACTCAGGGTTATCCGGGTGTAAAACTCGAATCCTCCAACACGACCCTGCACACAAGCCCTGTCTGCGTCTCGATGCCCTTTGCTCTTGTGCCCCCCTTGCGTTCCCTCCGTCCCAGCCTGCTCACGACCACCACGTACCACATCACCATCGTTCACTACTGCGAGCGGCACGGCACGGCACGGCACGTACCATGCCCCTTCCCCCTCTTCCCTTCCTCCTTCGGACCCCCTCAAAGCCTACCCACACTCTTCCAACCCAGCCAATCCTTCATCGTCCACAGAGCGGTAGAGAGCGGTAGCAAAAGCGGACAACTCCCCGTGTTCACGAGAGCACCTCTTGTTCTAGGCTCAATCATCCACTCCGCTAGACCGCAGGCCGCTCTCTCATTTGCCCTCAGACCCAGCGCAGCTCTCTCCAAGGCATGCATACCGACGCCTCAAGATGTTGCCATTCACTGGCGAGGGAATAAGCTCAACTGAATGCCGGCTTGGCTGTCGACGATCGAACGCGCCCCAGCTCGCCCTGTCATGAAGAGGGCCGATGAGCCGAGGGATGCATAGGTACTAACTGACTTTTGCCTTCGATTCGCTCGGGGGTCTGGCCGTGGGTCGCGAAGTCGTGGCAGGACGTGGTCATTACTTGGTCAAATGTCCCGCCTGACGTGCACTTTACGAACACGAGGAAAGGAAGACACCCTGCTCGTAAGACGCTTGTGTGTCGCCACGCACTGCAAACGATTCCAGGCCGGTCAGGATCGGCTGACCGAGCCGCGCTGAACATCAGTCTCAAGGTGCGGCTGGCGGCATGGCTGCTGATTGCCGGAAGGTTACGTGCTGCGCGCACGATGTCGTTGGCCGGTGCCCAGCCTATGATGAGCTCGTGTCTTGCAGTGAGACATGACACGGCCGCCCGGCGCCCATCGTGCCAGCATGCCAGCAGACTAGTGTCAGCGCGAAGCCCAAGACAGAGGCACGAGGCACCGAGGTACGTAAACAGAACAAGACACGGTAGAGTTGGGATTCCAGACCCATCCTGCAAAGCGTCGGCGGAGCGGCCTGCGGTCTCGCGGTCTCGGGTCGCCCATTCTTGCATCATCCAATTAGCGCGCGGGGAAGGGCACGGAGGCCGAGAGGGAGTGAGGTAAGTGAGGCATGCGAGGCACGAGAGCCTACCACAGCGCCCCCTCATGTCCCCTTTCCCTCACATCGGGTGGGTGCCCTGGGCCTGGGGAAGGCCCTGCGTTTCAGAGTCGCAATTAACCCTGCAACCACCACCCGCCAGCGTCCACTCTGTCCAGCAACAGCAAGTGCGCATCCCGCATTTGAGTTGAATGAGTTGATTCCAAGTACGTTTGTTATTCTTATGCTAATGCCAGCATGCCACAAAGCTGAGAGCTATCCAACTCGGCGGGCAGCGGCCATGGGCCATCCAGCCGCGATCATAACTTCTAGATTCGTTAGATTGCATCGATCCTTGCCGTCCCGGTCCCGTCTCCCTGCCTTGCTCCGACAATGATCCTCTTGCCTCCTTCCTCGCTCATATTCTCCTTTCCTCCCCGTGCAGATGGACCTGGCCACCTGCAACATTCACTCCATCCAGGTAGCCTCAATCTGTGTCGGCAGCAATCTCTCTAGCGTCTATGTTTATCTCACCCTCAGATGCTCTGGACCTCGGCACGATCAGCGATGGCCAACACTCGCATCATCAGGCGCGAATCATACGGCAGGCTGATGACACTGCGTGAATCTCAAGAAGCGTGGACCCTAGTACCTCGCGGCTGTTGCAACGTCTTTCGTGTGCATATTGCCCACATGTTCTCATCGCCTACTGTGCGGGCGCCTCGCTCACCTCGAAGCGCTGCTGCCGAGCCTCAGCGCACCCAAGCCCTCCCCTGTCGATCCTAAAGATGTGGTAACAACGTGCTCTTTCGTCCACTCAGAGAGACGTTGCCATGTCTCATCTCCCATGTCGGAGAAGCAAGTCCAGGCCCAGGATCAAGCCTGCCGCACTGCCTGCCGACACCTGCTGCGCAGCATCCAGCTGAGCCTCAGGTCCAGGAGCCAAAGCTAGTGCAGATCAACTGACCCGGAAACGCGGCAGCAACACGGCATGTCCGGAACGAGCAATCTGACATGATGCGTGGGTTAGCTCAACAGCAGCCGAGGCCCGGGCCGCATCACGTATGGTTATTTGGCGAGCCTCGCTACTCCTGGTTTCTCTCTGTACCTTCCCCTTGTTTGTTCATCGCCCACTGGCTCAACTCCGAGTAGGATTCGCGACACCTCATCCATGGCTAGAAAGAGTCGAGACTCTGGCTCTAGCTGCTGAGAACGAAGCTCAACATGCTCCAACTTTGTGTCCCGAGTGAATCAGCGATAGCGTTGACACCGTCCGACAGCATGGCGGTGTGTGGGAACAAGCAACGTGCTTGATATGCCTATGCGCTGGAAACGGAGCTTGTCTCGCATGTTCTGCGCTTGTCTCAGTCGTCGTCGTATAGCGAGTCGTGGGGCAAAATGCTGTCGCTCATGTTGTACCAGTTGGGTTCTTGGGAATAAACCCAAGCCTGTCTACCTCACATCACGCCAGCTCTGGGAGATGCACAGCACGCCATGGCTCGGCGTCTCGGTGGAGCAGGACTGCGCCGGCGTCTGCGCGGACCAGAATTGCATCACTGGGCAAAAAGAGAGTTTGCCCAGAGCTTGTGCATAGAGTGACTCCAACAGACTGGGCCACCGCAGGCAACGGCATGCCCTACGTCTCCAGCGTCTCAATCCGCAGCGCACGTCTCAAGCGACTCACCCGGGCCCACTTGACTCGGACACGACCTCGCCAAGAGGGCAACGTCGGCGAATGCTGGAGTGGTAACAGTGGGAAGAGCAATTCAGTCGTAAACGGAGATAAGCTTGTCGTTGTGGCCTACGCAGCGGCCGGCGTGCGAGCATTCCATACTTTCGCATCCTTGGGGCCATTCACCTCCCCGCTGTCTCCACTTTCTCCTGTGATTCATAGTCTACGTTGCCGTTGTAAGCTATCTCGTACCTTTTGCTCTTGTTTCCGGGCTCCGACTCTGGTCGCCCTGGTGAGTACCGCCGAGAGCAGTGTCGTGATGTGATGAGTGTGCGGTTGCTGTTCTCGGGCATAACCATGTAATTTGGGAGCAGGCCGGGACGCTCGGGTGATCTACTCGAGTCTGTCAGATCCAGACAACCGGAGACTGAATGGCGACGGGGGCCCGATGCTGGCAGTGTGATGGCATGGGACGCAGATGTCGGCAGCGGGAAGCTCGGAAGCCGTTGGTCATCACGCAGAACGCAGATCATCTGCGTCAACAAGTTTCCCATGTGAAACCCGCTTGACGACCAGCGCACCGCTAGCGCCCCCTTGGCCATCTTGGGGACCCGGGCGTTTCAACTTGATCACGTGCAGGGTCAGAGATAGTGACACGCGACCCTCACGCGAGCGCCAAAGACGCCACCAGAAGCGATAACATGAGCACATGACGTAATCTTGCCCTTCGTGTCAACACCACACCCGCGCGCTCTGTCTGGATCGTAAACAACGGTCCGTTCGCCGATCTTCCTTCGCCACCAGTCCAGTACCGATGTCGCGCTGGAACCTCGACAACCCGACCCCATCGGCCGCCGTCGACCTGGGCTCGCCGTCCCGCTCCCGGCGCTCTCTGACGGCCTCGCAGCAGAGCCAGTTCGCATCGAGCGTGTTTGGCTCCGTCCCGCAACCCCGGACCGGTCCGGGGGTGGCGGCGCGCGATCTCGCCGCCCGCATGCTGGACGGGGCGTGCGAGACAAAGCAGACTGCATTCGAGTGGCCCGTCCAGCGTGTGCGCGCTCTTCAAGCACAGCTCGAGCAGGCCACAGACGCCGAGGAGGTGCACGACGTGCTCTCCGGCGACGGGTGCTACTTTGACGACTTGGCGTACAAGCTGCACTTAGAGCGCGCGCCCGATGTGCACCTGACCCCGTTCGACGAGGTCCCTCCCGCCGCTAACGTCGACCCAAAGGTGACTCTGGCAATCATAGCGCTGTGGGCCAAGTACAGCGACCTGCCGCCCGACGAGGCGTTTGAGCGCTATGTCTTCGTCGGGGTGAAGCGGTACGAGAGCGAGGACCAGCGCGAGCTCGGCGAGCCCCGGTGGCTGTGGACGACAAGCGCCAAGACGGAATTCTCCAAGCGCAACGAGTACTGGGAGGTCACGCTGCCGAGTCTGTCGGAGCTGCTGCGCGACCCGGACGTGGCGGAGAAGGACGCGTTCTCGATTCGCGTCGTCGTCAAGCATGCGAGCGAGCCGAGCCTACCGCCCATGGTTCATGCCGACCAGCAATTCATCTCCCGCCGCGTCACACGCCAAGCCGCCAGCTTCCTCGACAGTGTCCGAACGGGTGACGTGCGCTTCCTCGTTCTCGAGCACGCCCCCGCTCCCGACTCGGACTCACTCGAGCCCCCAGACACCGAGCCGACAAGTGGTGGCATGGCCCGACGCCGCGTCATCTACGCCCACAGCGAGTTACTCCAACACACTGATTACTTCAAGGCTGCGCTCGGCCCCAGCTGGTCCGAGGGCTCTGATGCAGGCATTCGCACGCTGAGTGTCGACGATGCTTCCTTCGGAACGCTGTACTGGGTCCTGCGGTGGCTGTACACGGACGAGATCCGCTTCGGCCCCGAGCCCGTCCGCACGGTCATGGAGCATGTGCGCCTTGACCCGGCCGCCGCCGCTCGCGTGCTGAGGGGAGAAGGGTGGGACTGGACATCCCTTGACGAGGACGAGGTGCGCACCGTGCGCAGTGTCTCTTCCTCCGGCACAGCCGGGACGAGGGTCAGCGGCTGCCGCTCGCCATCGGGCGTACCCCCAGTGCCACCTGTACCCGCCGCCCCAAGTGCGTCCAGCACCGTCCCATCAAAGTCGACACAGAACCGCCTGAACTCGCCCCCGCCTCCCCCGCCGCCGCAACCCGACACGACACCAAAGAAGCAGGCCCCCTCGAACTTACCCCGCATCGCAGGCGGAGCGCGGAAGAAGCCCGCCGCCGCGCCGAGTCCACGCGCCTACGCGCCCAGGCGCTCGCACGCGCCGACGCCGACCCGCACGCACACCCGACCCCGCCTCCGCCGCCACCGAGTCCGCTCGCCGCATTCCTCCTCGCGCACCGGTATGGGCTCGACGACCTGCAGGTACTCTGCAGAGACACGCTCCTCCGGCAGCTCACGCCCGATACCTGTGTTGCGAGCCTGCTCGCGACCTATGCCTTCCCGGAACTGCACGCGGCCATCCTCGATTATGTTGTGAGTATACTTTATAGCGTATTGTGCGGGAGGAGCGTGGAGCTGTGAGGGTACTGCCAGCTGACATTCAGAGCGACAACTGGGCCGACGTGACGCAATCCCCCGAGCTTGAGCGGTGCTACCAGGAAGTCTCGGCTGGTGTATGGGGCGAGAACCACGGCGGGCAGGTGCTGCTCGGCCTGACGAGGCGGCTGACCGGTATGACCCTTTGAGCGCGCGTCGGAGCGCTGTGATACCCTCATTCCCTCGATGTCTCATTGTCTACGCTCCTACCTCCGGCACACTACATGCCAACCTCTTTCCCTCCATCTCTGTGTGATCCCGTTGTACATGCCCGTTGTAGATTGATACATGATATGATGCTACGTCTTCCTCATCTTCCCCTCTGCGCCTGCCTCACCTCCCGCTCCTTCCGGAACGCAGCGACCTCGGCTTCATCCGGCACATCGTCGCACCATTCTCTCAGCCACTCGGCCAGGATCTGCTCGTCACGCATGAGCCGCGGGCCGTCCTTCTTCACGAGACGGCGAGGGCCCTCGTGCTCGTTCACGAAGAGCAGTGCCGTCATCAGCGTCTTTCGCAGTGGTCGCACTCCAAGAGCCCGCATCCACGCCAGGGCTCGGGGAACACTGGCCGGCACCGCGCGTGTGCGAGCTAGAAGCGCGATGTACGCCTGGAAAGCGCGAGGACCGGGGAGGACGTGTGCCGTCTCCGACGAGGCTGGAACGAGCGTGGGGAGCTTCACCTCAGACGAGCCCCACAGACGTCCGACACTCAAAGCACCACCGGCCAGAGGTGACTTGACGCTGGCGAGAGAGGGCCAGTTGCCAAGCACAATGCCGGCGAACACGTCCCGCGCCAGCTGCCACGGCTGCAGCGAGCCATACTCTTCCCTCCAACTGTAGCCATAGCCGTTCGCGATATCCGCAACGTTGCACTCGCGCCAGTGGCTTTCCGGGAGGCTCATTGGGTTGGAGCGCGAGCGCTGGGAGCCGATCGCGTCCGCAATCAGGCGCAGACGTACCGCGACTGAATCCGCTGCCTCAAATCGCGCAAAGCTCAGGCGCGCTGTATCAAGCAGCAGGGCGAGCGTTCCGTCGTCTGCCGCTAAGCCCCATCGCGGCTTCGCTGCCTGCCAGAGCCGAAAGGCGAGTCCTGCTGATCCGGAAGCGCGACACATCGACATCAGGTTGTTCAGCGCCGAGACGTCGAGCGGGACACTGCCAGGGACGTTCGATGCAGTCGATTTGACCGAGGTCGTCGGGGTGTCGGGGGAGATAGGCAGAGGCGGCTTCGCGGCATACCAGTCTACTAATCGCAGCGCATCCGGCGTAGGATCGTAGACCTTGGCGCTGCCTGCCTTCGCGTTCACAACTCGCGCGTACTTCAGCTTAGCACCCGCCGTCAGCGCTGCTGCGTCAAGATAGCGCGCCCTGTCCTCCGGCGGCGCCTTTCTGTGCTTAGCAAGCAGCGTCTCCCAAACCTTTCCCGCGGCCGTGAAGTCGTGGTGGCGCATCAGACCACCCAGAAGCGGCGTGATGACACCCGCGCAATAAACGTCGCCCGGAATCGACTCGGCGAGCATCACCAGGTCCTTGGTAGAGACGTGCTTATCTCTGGCAGCGATGGTCGCCAGGACGCTCCACGCATGTCTTCCGAGTTTGTCGCGGTCCTCCTTCGCCATACTTCTCAGCAGCGGTTCAAGGATCTCCGCAGCAGCACGGAACGTCTTCTCCTTCAGGGCACTGCCCAGTCGCTCCCATGGTGCGAGCTCCTGCCCTGCCGCCTTCGTCTTCGCGAGTGCCTTCAAGCCTGCGACCGGTTCAGCGGCCGCGAAGCACGATGCCGCAACATTTGCCCACTGCTTGTCCGTGAGCTCTACCGCGCCGAGATGCGTCATGATCATGTCGAGCGTCTCAGGTGTGCAGTACGCCGGGGAGAGGAGCCAATCAAGCGACGCGGGGCGGAGAGCGATGGTGGGTGCCTCGCTCGAGCTGCTAGGCAGGTCGCCTAGCTGGGAGATGAGATGCCGCACTACGCGCGCAATGCTTGCCTGCAGTGTTGCCGGTAAGCGCGCGGCACTCGCTGCCGAATCGGATCCCGCGACGGAGCGCACAAGCTTGTCGTGCTGGTAGATCACTCTCTGCGCGGTGATGCGGGTGTCGCGCCCTTCGGCGAGGAGGGAAACGCCTAAGTGCTCGAGCAGCTGAAGAGCAAGCGATACACCCGCGTCGACAAAAATTAGAGCACCTGAACGTCCTGCTGCCTGCACGAAGCGCAATGTCGTTGGCAGTGTCCGTCCCGTCTGCGCTGCGCTGCCAGGGGGAAGGCTCGACAGGATGCGCAGCACGCGCTCCAGTACCGGGGCGTTGCAAGGTCCTGAAAGGATGACATCAATAGCCTTCAGCCATTCGCTCGGTGCGGCGTGGTCGAACGCACTCTCGTGCACGGCGTCCAGATACGTCGACCCCGGCAAGCCGCGGGGAAGGGCGAACAGTCGGAGGAAGGGTTGCTCCTGGCTGGCAGCCGGGGCAATGGCGAGCTGCTCTTCCCGCTGCGCCCTCCTCGTCTCCTTCAGTTCCTTCCTCTGCTGTCTCTCGCTTGCCTCAAATTCGGATTCCGGCACATGGTCTACGGCGGCTGTAGAGCTGACAGGTCGGAGGGAAGGTCTTGTTTTCGTTAGCGACGCAAGGGGCCGGATGGGCCTGAGAAGTCAGCTATCACCGACCACTACCAAAGCTTACCTCAAATGACTTATCGCTCTCATTAATCTTCTCGCCCGCTTGCCATCGCTCGCCGCGTCGGTGTTGTTCACAATGAAGGAGTCAGTGATGAAAGTAGTCACCTTCCTCGCTCCTGGCTGATAGCCAGGAAATCGAGGTTGAAGAGGTCGCACGTGGTGCGGACTTTTCACGCCACTCCGCGAATCAATGAAGCCAGACGCGTCGCGTAGCCCCATACGCCCGCGCCAAAGCCACCAAAAGTCAACATTGCCTCGGTCAGCATACACACAAGTACCATGCCCGCACCCTCTGTCCTGCCGACCGACCGGCTTACTGTTCGCTTTCCCCCAGAAGCGGCGGAGGAAAGCTACCAGCTGCTGGAGCTACCCGCCGAAATTCTGAAGGCCGTCGAAGGCGGCCAGTCTGTTGGGTAAGCTGCAGGGACGGACGTCGCTGACTCCAGGTTGACGATCAAGGGCCGGCCGTCCGACGACGCGGTGCTCTGCACCTCGAACAAAACATACACTCTCCGCACAGTATCGGTCTCCAACTCGTTGCTCGTCCTTCGCCCGCCGGACGACACGACACTGCACCTCCGTGACACCTGCCACGAGGTACTTGAGTGTGTGCCGAGTGCGGGGCGGGTAGAGAGAATTAGGACAGTGCTCCGCGAGTCGGCGTGGACCGGGCTCGACGCAAATGAGTGCAAGCGCAAGCGCTGCAAGCGGTACACTCGCGCGCAGCTCGAGTCCATCATCCAGGCGTGCGACGATGAGCTCGAGCATGGTCTGCGTTCGCACAACGTCGTCGAGGTCGACGGGCACATGATGCTTCTCCCGCCGGAGAAGCTCGGTCCACTGCTCAGTCTTGTACTCGCGCTCATCACTGTTCATCGGAAAGAGAAGGAATGTCCGGTCAAGGAGATCTGCGAGGCGCTCTACGACGACCACGGCGTCCCCGCCGACCTGACACGGGGCGTTATGCGACTCTTCGGCGCCCTTGAGGAGGACAAGTGGACATACGACTCGACTGGCCTCGTGCGTGAGCTCGGAAGAGGTCTGCTCGTGACTCTAAGAGTAAGCTTGATCGCCTGTGCCCTCAGCTGACAACAGCAACCGCGGCCGGAGGACCAGTTCCTGCACGAGTGGCGGTCGGCTGCGACTGATGAGTTCGCTGACCTCGTCGACTTGAAGCTCCTCGTCGGTGACTATCTGCTGAACGACCCGCCGCCATCGGCCTTCCACACGCCCGCCAAGCTTGTCACGTACTTCCCCGTGCACGCTTTGCCGCTGCACACCGCGACGCGCTTCTCCGACCTCTTCCTGACCCGACAGCGGTGGCGCCCGGACGACATGATCCCGTACCTGCAAGGTTTGTACCCTGCCGGCGACAGCAAGGCGCGCGACAAGCTTGTTGCCAAGTTCATCCGTGTGGTGAAGGGCAAAGACGGGACGTGGTGGCACGCACGTCGCTCGGGATGAGAGCAGGGACGGCTGGAAGGGGTGGTATGCGGGTGTTCTGTATTCGATGCAAATTGCATGTACAACATAACTGTGTACAGTGCGAAATCGGGTACGGTAACCGGAATGCACAATACACGCTTCACCGCTTCGCTCTCCTGCTGACAAACTGATTATCTACCGCTGGTGTAAACAGGTATCTCGGATCAAGTGGCTCTCGGTGTGTACGCCGCTGCGTTTGTCAGCAATGAATTGATGGTACGCTGTGGCCGGAACATGCGAACACGGGTTAGTCATGCCTCCATGTGAGACATGTGGAGTGACGGAAGGCATGTTCCTGCCAAAACTCAAACTTACGCAATGCCTCAGCGGCCCGGTTACGTTCTACCCAGGCGGCCCGCTCCTTTTCGATTCGTTTCCAAAGGTTGTGACCGAAACCGTTGTCGATGAGCATCTTGCACGTGAGGTATTGTCCGATACCCGGATCGGGAAGGTTGGGACAGCGATGCGTCACATCGGGGACGAAAGAGATGAGGATGTTGTTGGCGGAGAACATGGGGACGTTGAAGGCGTTGTCTCGGATTGTGGACTGCGGAGCGTCAGACACACTGATGGAAGTAAAGAATGTACGTAGGGGATGATAAGCGAGTGCAGTTGCGGGTTGACGTGCCGGCCGAAGAGATAGTCATCGTCCCCCGGCTTGTTGGCGATGAATACGAGCTGCTGTCAGCGCGGATCGACGTCGGAGTAGCTTGCTCCGCGTTACCCCGTCCCTCCGTACCTGCTCGCGCCACGAAGACACAAAGCCGAGGTGATGGGACGCCAACCGAGGCAGCCACGGCGCTACTCACTCGCTCGTCGGTCAGCCACAAACGTCCCCTAGACGTGTGACTGGATTTCGGACCCTCGATCGTCGCCGGGATTTTGAGCTGAATCTCGGCTCCGTACCCGGGGGTCAGGAGGTGTTCGCCGAGGTGGATGGGAGTCCGCTCGGCGCCTTCTGGGATGGTGTTACGTGCCATGGTAGTGGTCGTCGGACGAAGGTGTTGTCGCTGGAGCTGTTGACAGAGGTACGGAGGAACGCTGACTGATCGGATCTGGTGAATTGCGGAGATGGGTTGAAATTGGCCACTCGGGTGTTCATGCCTTATAAACTCGTGCTGCTCGCCTTCCTCCGCCATGGCTGAATGATGGGTCATATGACGTCCAGGCGATCACCCCGTGGGGTCCACTCTGCCGGAATATACGTGTCTTTTTCTTTCCTGTTGGTATCACTGTCACTCCCCTCGACTGCAGGCGCGTCTGTTTCTGCTCATCTTCGCGTGCTGGACATCGCCAAGAACAACATCAACCATCGCGTGCAGCTCGACTCAGCCGCTGCATCTTTGTTCTTGACCCTGTCTACTCGTTTCCTAGCTCTGGGTGTGAACGACTCAGCTCTCTCGTCCCGCCAACCCACCGCGCGCCCACACCGGCCGTTGTCCAACCGCCTTCACCACAACAATACACTCTCCCTCGACCGATCCTTGCATGTCGGTCGCTAATGGAGGGTCAGGGGAGTCCAGCACCCCGAATGGCGTGGTGAAAGGAGAGTCTGACCAGAAGTCTGGCAATGGAAAGGGGCCGCTAGCTGTGGAGCTGTCGAGCTCTAAAGCCCCGTCGGGAGTGCCCGAGAAGCCGCAGGACGAGTGAGTACGCGTTTGCGAGCCCGTTCGCATGCGCAGCACAGGGGAAGGGCGCTGCGAAAGCGAGAACGAAAGGCTCCTTCCCTACAACCGATTCCGGTCTCGTACTGACCCCCACAGCTGGCAGGTTGCATACACCTGGGCATTCCTTGTCAAGTTCGGTCTGCGAGACAAGATCAAGGGCTTGGAAACACCAGAAGAGTGAGTATGGACGGTGGATGCATAAGAAAGGCCACAGTGCTCGGTGGAATCTAGTGCTTTGCGTTGGGGCCGGTGACTGGATCAGCGGTGTTCAGTGCCGTTCCTCACCCCCGCGTACGCCGAGCCAGCGGAAACGAAAGTGCCACATGGCCATTGACTGACTCCCCTCTCAGCCTCGAACGCTGCCTGACCCAGCCGGTGGCCCTCCGCCCAGACGATGTTCTGGAGGGAATTCTGATCCGCTTCCTCGCCAACCTCAAACCGGGAATCAAGCAGTTGCGGTGAGTCACGGGCGAATCGTCACCGACTGTGGCACTCCGGTGAGCTAACGATCCCCGCAGAGACGATAACATCCAGTCGCATCTGTCTAGCTACATATCCGACCAGCTACAGCATTCGAATGAGTTCACGGTTTGGGACGACCCATGGCCCCAGCATGAGGACCAGCGCGGGGCCTGCTGCTCGACAGCGCCGGACCGCCTGGAGCAGGGCCGCTTGCGGCCCCTGGGCGAGGATCCGAAGGAGCGTGTCAAGCGAAACCCCATCAAGCAGATGGAGGAGAAGGGCCAGGGTATCTTTGAGCTGGACTGGCAGGAGCGCGCCAAGCTGCTGCGGCAGTTGGTGGATTGGCAGCGTGAGTTGGCACCACCGCGCGTCCGTGCGTTAGCTGATCAACAGTCACGCACGCCGAGAACATTCGTCAGACGATCAAGGAACAGCACAACATGAGCAAGAAGGCTTATGACGAGCTGAAGAACCCGATCAAGCTGGAGCCGCTGGGCACTGATCGCAAGAAGGTTCGAATTTGGAGCCTGGATGGTGAGTTTGCATCGTTCGTGTAGTGGCTGACGTCAGACTCTCCACGGTTGTACCGCAGCGGCAACCCGTTCAAGCGCCCTTGTCCGCTCGTCCCCTACACCTTCACGCGAGACGAGCTTCAGGCCGAGCAGGAGCGTTTCGCCGCTTACGGTGCCGAGAAGGCGCCCAAGCTCATTGGCTCCGGTCCAAAGGGCAAACCGACCAAAGTCGAGCTCAGAGACCACAACAAGCTTGTCAAGGGTATTCAGGACGAGGCCAAGCTGGCGGAGAAGCTTGCGGGACTCGCTCCAAACGTCGAGAAGGAGGAGGCGCGAGTTCAGCGAGTCCGCAAGAAGATCCAGCAGGAGGCGCAGAACCGGGCTCTGTTTGAGATGCGGAACCAGGAACGATCCACGCGAACGAGGCGATCCACGCAGAAAGTCGACTATACGTATGACGGCTGGGACAGCGAAGAGGACGTGAGTTCAAACTTCCGGAGAGCTCCAGGCAGCTGACAGGGCAGGACGAGCCTCGGCGCAGTGGTCGGCGAGGGCGAGGAGCGGCCGATTCTGAGCCTGAAAGCCGTCGCCCCGTCATTCCAGGCGAACGGCGGTCGGCGCGCGTCAGCGCTCGACAGGCGATGGAGGAGGACGAGTACGAGGAGCAGCCGACGCGTAGCCCAACTCCGCCACCGAGCCCACCAAAGGAGGCGAAACCGACGACTCGCGAGGTTTTCCCCGAGGGCGTGAAAAAGGTGAAGGGATACGCGTGGGTCGAGGACGTTGACGGCGGGGAGGGGAGCGATATGGGTTCGCAGCCGAACGGGGATGAGAATCATGCCGACTCGGGCGTAGACGGCTCGAAAGGGGAGCCGATAGAGATCGATTGAGCTGTGTATGTAGTCAGATGTTCAAACGTGGTAGCATAGCCCTTTCATGCATTCTGTTTTGGTTAGTAAAATCGCCTGGCCAGTCGCCACCGTTGGTCCGCGCTTCGCAAGGTTGGAGATGCGTTTCGTGCATTGTTTTTCTTTGTTGTTGATTGATGTCCTGCATGCCAGCTACTCTCTCGGCGTCGACAATGAATGTAATTAATGGGCTGGGGTATGTCAGCTGAAAAGCCCGGTACCTTCTACGTCATGAGACTTAAACTCACCCTCGGGGGTCTGCGAAGTGGGAGGCGATGTCAGTAACGTCGATCTCGGTGGCGAGTGGGCAATAACTAACCTGGGCAACGTACTCAATGGCTGTTCGTTAGCTTTGGTCCAATGCAAACGAAACTACTCACCGTCGTTCACGGCGTTGATGGCGTCGGCCTCCTGATCAGGGATCTCGATGGCGAACTCCTCCTCAACGGCCATGACAACCTCGACGGTGTCAAGCGAGTCAAGACCGAGGTCCTTGGTGAAGTTGGCAGTGGGGGTGAGCTGGGGTCAGCGTGAGTTGCCGAAATGAGCGGGGATCTCCGGACAGAAGTTGAGCGAACGTTGTCTTCGCGTAGACGGTTCGGGTTCGGGGCGAAGCGCGCGTCCGCATGCTTCCTTCTTCTTCCTTCCTTCAGCCCCGAACCATGACCTTCCGCACTGTGTCGTCCTTCAGGTCGCACGGAGATCCCCAGCCGATAAAGGGAGGCGACATACCTTGCCCTGGTCGACCTTCTCGAAGGAGCGGAGGACGTCCATGACCCGCTTGGTGATGTCCTCCTTGGTGAGGGCGGCGGCGGAGTAGGCGCGGGCCGAGATGGGGACGGCGACACGGGGAACGGCGCGGGGGGCGGCACGGAGAGCGAGGCGGAACATGGCGATGGAGCTGATACCGGTGGTGTACTGGGTGTGGATCTCACTGCTAGCGCTCGATGATGCGAGCGAGTTGACCTGCGACCACCAGACAGAGAGCAGCGCCGGAGCCCGTCGGCGTTATCCCCGTTTGCTTCCGCGTGGCGGATTTCTGACAGACGTCCGCCACTCCATTGGCTATGGTGGTGCATCGACACTACCTCGGCGTGAGATCTATGCATGAGCCTGCAGAATGTGTGCATGCATGGAGAGGTGTTCTGTGTGATGGGAATGAGTGTTCTGAGTCTGCAATAGCCTGGACGAGTGAGAGGGCTGGGGCGGTCGTTGCCTGAGTATAGCGCTTAGGTGGCGATCCCATAAATTCGGAAGCCTTGTCTCCGCGACCTCTTCGACAGTGAAGAGCCACATGTGCAGCGTCTCTCTGATGTTGAGGGTAATAGAATAGAGCCTGGTTGTCCCCCGTTCCATATTTACGATGTCTCTTGATGGAGATCTCAGTCCAATTGCTCTGCGCGGAGGAAACTTGCTACCAAGAGTCGCAGAGTTATTAGGCTGAAGTCTATCGTTGGCTTTATCTGACCGTGATGGTTCCGAGGAGCCTTTACGGATCGTGTGTTAACGCTCTGAGTGCTCTGTTTGGTCATTTCCACTCATCACGGGCTTTGTTGCCGGGGAAGCTACGTGCGCGAGCCATATAGACGGCAGGACGAGTAGTTCGGAAACCTGGGGCTGCTGCCACGCTTGAACCGCGGGCCGCGGCCTGAATGAACCCACCATACCCATGCATACTCCTTCAGAAAGCGTGCGAAACTCAGCAAATGCAAGTGGCGTGTCGGCGCGTCTCCGAGCGACGAGCAAACGCTTCCTCCGGGGTGACCTAGCGAGATTCGAAGAAACATTCACGGCAGCTACTTTCACCTTCTCACACCGGATCTACTCCACAACTCCGCTACTCCTGGCTATCCGAGGAACCACCACAAGGGTTCTTAAAGTTAACGGTAAGGCAGATCCTGCGTCAGCACCCTCATGCATGCATGCCTCGTACTCTACATGGTTTTACCACCACTGTATGGTGGTGTGCCACCAAGACAGGGTCTCCCACGTGGCCATGCCTCACGAAGTAGTTCCGAAACCCCGCCACTGTAGGGCGTCTCGAGATTTCAAGTCCACTCTTTACTTCGAGGTCTCCCGAGGCGAAAACAGACCGACGAACGACCATGAAGCACGGCCTGAGCGGACGAAAGCTTCAGAGGACGTCCTCCCACCGACGTGCGCTCCTCAGGTGAGTTTCCACCGCTTTTTCCGCCCTCGAAAAGCTCAATTCGGCGATCTCCAGCGGCCAAAACTAATGTCAGGAACCTTGTATCCGCGCTCATTCATCATGAGGTGATCAAGACGACCGTTCCGAAGGCGAAGGAGGCCGCGCGTCTCGCCGAGAAGGTAAGAGCTACCCAGAATGAGCTGTTATGGAGCTAACGACAGATTATCACCTACGGCAAGCGCAACACCGACCCGTCATACCGCTCGGCGCAGTCCTACCTCTTCGTGAGTGAACGCTGGTCGCAACAACAAGCGTTCGTGGGCGATTAACTTGCCAAACGCATGGCACGTCTGCGAGCGCTAAGCCCCCACCCGGCATTGCTAACAGCAGCCTGGTCACGTCTATGGCTTCCCATCAACACCTCAGAAGGTGGAGCCTCCCCTTCCTCCTGAGGCTCTTCTTCTGGACCAGCCTGAGAAGTTCCGTCCGACCACCAACCTGCTTCCGAAGATCTTCGGTACTCTCCGTGAGCGCTACGCCGACCGCCCGGGAGGTTACACCCGCATCCAGAGGTTCGGCAAGAGGCCGGGAGACAACGCCCCGGTGGCGATCCTCTCTCTCGTCGACGGACCGCGCGACCTGCGATTCGAGTTCACTGCCCGCGCGCTCGCCCGCGAGTTTGTCGCCAACGGCCGGACGGTCGAGGGTGTCGACCAGATCAAGCGCTTCATGGCCGACGAGAAGGCGCAGGAGTTCCTCCGACCGAAGACGAGGCTGAACCTCGGCAAGGTCATGAAGTACCACCCGGAGCGCGCGGAGGAGTTCTTTGAGCTTGTTACCGACTACCAAGTGAGTCCAACAGGGAGTGCGGAAATCGTGGTGCTGGATCAGACGGTGTTGTCGGAGTCCATAACGTTGTCATGACATGACTGCCGCAAGCTCAGCGGGCCGCTGGGACCAGCTCACACAGCCTGCTGCCACCTCAACTGTTACGAGTTGTACAGCTAACATTCAGAACAAGCTGCGGGCGGAGGCCGGAGCTGTTGGCCACAACAGGGAAGCGCCCGACAGCGGGATCAAGTTCCGCCCTCCGTCGTCGACCAAGCCGATGGAGGGACGTCGCGCGCTTGCCGGAGAGCGCCTGTCGGGCATGTCGATCTCGCACTCTGGACTCGGCCTGGCGCGCGGTGCTCTCAACCGCCGCCGGCCCAACGCGGACCGATCGCCTCGTTTCATTACGGAGAAGAACGTACCCGTGTCGAACCTCGACGTGGACTAGACAAATCATGTATGCATCACTCTAACATCATCGGGCTCTTAACTTTCGCTGCACCAGCAATCTGCGCCTGTGCGCAAGGCATGGCTTAGCACGTTCGGCGTTTCAACGGGTTCGTTTCAGACAGAGCCTTAACGCAGTCTCACACCGGGTCTCGACGGTCTTACGCGCATGCAGAGATGCGGGGCCACGCCTCGGGGAGGGTTGAAACGAGCGTCGTCGGCGGGTCCGAGGGACGGACTCTTGTGATGTGATTTCGAATCAGGGTCGAGCGGACCGAACGGCGCCGCCTAGGCTGCTCTGTTTTGGGTGGGACCGTCATCGCGCACCGCGGTCGATCATGACCCCCACCGCGGCCCAAGGACAGGTCTGTACATTGTACCATTCACCCATCCTTGTTTACACCACTTATCCCTTCGCTTCAGACCCATGGCGCTCTTTGGTCTCGCCCGCTCACGCGTCCCGGCCGCGTCGCGATGCCTCACCCGCGGAGTGCATGATTACGTCCGTGGCGTCGCCGACCACAGTGAGTACCCCTCTCGGTGGAGGGCAGTTTGGGCGGCTGAGGGCCCCAGGGCTTTGGAGACCATTTCGCTAACGGCCGCAGTTCCATACAAGGTGCACCTCAAGAGCCCAAAGGTCGTCGGCGTAGTGACCTCGCGCGGCAACCGCGAGTACATGGAGGATGCGACGAGCGTGTGTGCATTGGAGATCGACGCGGGCGAGCTTGAGCGCTCGCTCCCGCTCTCCGCCGCGGACTGGGCGCCAGAGAACGCAGGCGACCACGAACTCGCCCGCCAGGTCGAGTACTTTGGCATCTTTGACGGGTGAGTCCTCCCCTCTGTTCGTCGTTGTGCATCAGCGGCTCGTCAAAATCTGCATCGACGTCGGACGCCCGCCCTCCCCCGGTCACGGAAAGTCTGGCCCGCTCGGTCCAGGGACGCGCGCGGCCCCACGGGCGCAGGGCATGGCGACGGCGGCACCGGCGATCACCACGACATCACTAATCGGGATCGCGGGAGTGCGATGGATGCGTGCGATGAGCAGAACTAAGGTCGGAGCAAACTGGCTGACAGCAGCCACGGAGGCAAGGCCGTGAGCGGGTTCCTGCAGGCGAACCTTGCGCGGATCATCGAGACGGTCAAGCCCGAGGACATCCAGCCTACGATCGAGTCGACCGTCGAGATCGGGGGGTACTTCAAGCGATGGCGGGGCGGCGCGCTGAAGCGCTGGACGGACTGGAGCCACGACAAGGCCGAGATCGGCAAGGACAACCTGACTGTCGACGAGCGATTGACCCTCGCATTCCTTAAGGTGAGTAACCCCACAAGACCAACACAGGAACACGCAGGCCGTGCTTCTCGACCCCAAACAACGGCAAGAAGCCACCCCCACCGAAACAACACTGACCCCAGGCGGACCAGGAGGTCAAGACGACGGTCGACAAGGCGAACCGGTGCGGCTCGACCGCAAGCGTGGTTCTGCTGCAATCGCTCGACACGCCAGGCCAGCCGCACTGGGTCGCTGAGCGGGTATGGCTCACGGTAGCGCACACGGGGGACACGCGCGTGCTGCTGTGCAACTCGGTGAACGGCGAAGTCACAGCGCTGACAGACCGGCACCACGCCGAGTCGCGAACGGAGGCCGCTCGTCTCCGGCGATTGGGCACGGCCGACGGCGCGGGCATGATCACGGACTCGTTCGGCGAATCGCGATGGATGGGTGCGGTCGAGAACACGCGCGGCTTCGGCGACTTTGAGTGGAAGCCTATGGGCGTCACGGCCGAACCCGAGATCACGCACAAGCTCATCGAAGGCCGCGACAATGCGTACCTCGTCCTCGTGACTGATGGGCTGACCAATATGCTCTCGGACCAGGAGATTGTGGACCTCGCACGCCAGGCGAGCGACCCCACACGGGCCGCTAAGAACATTGTCCACTTTGGCGAGGACCTCGGCGCACAGGATAACTGTACCTGCATCGTTGTCCCGTTGGCTGGATGGGGACACGTCGGAGGCGAGGACACGACAGAGCCCCGACGAGAGTATCGCCGCCGCCAGGCCCGCATGTACAACGGCCGCATGCAGCGGCAATGATCTCGCTACCTGCACGCGCATCTTGTATCCGATACCCCATCCGTCTGCCCCGGACACTGCCATACCCCATAGACCTGTATACCTAGACAACTACTACATCCAAGCAAACACTGCACTGCATATGCATACGATAATTCCAACTTCAGCGGCTCATGATCAGATCGTAGTTCTCGCCCTGGTACCGACTCCGAAACCCGGCGTCCGTCTCGTAGAAGACATGGTCGAGCACATCGTTGTACACCTCTGCCTGACTCGGCTCGTACCACCGTGCCAGCCCCGCCTCAACCATGAGCTGGAAATCAGGCGTGTCTGGGCGCTCGGCACGGAGCGCGTCCACGTCAGCGACCCACGCCGCCGTATCGAACTCGACTCCTTCGTCGGGCGGTACGTCGTCGGCCACGTTGGTCAGGTCAAAGATCCAGCGCTCAGTCCCGACAAAGATGTACGACAGCAAGCTGGGAACACGGGAACAGCGTTCCATCTCGTGCCAGTCCCCCTGTAGGCCGTGGCCCTCACATGGACCCATGGTGTAGGCGTCGAAGAAACGGAGCAGGCCCCAAAACGCTCGCATTGAGGTGAGCTTGATGTGTTCTTTGCCCGGTGGCACCGGGGGAAGGGGCGCGGGTACGGTGGCGCCATTCCTTGAGCCATGGAGAGTTTCAGAGGGCACTGCGGGCGTAGGGGCGACCTCGGGTTCCGGAGGAGGCGGCTGGTAGACAAGGTCGAGCTCGGCCTGCTCGGCGGCTAACTCTTCCTCGTCGATCGGAGGCTCCGGGCTTCCTTGCGTGACCTCATCGTGTTGTCCGCTCTCATCGCCGTCGCCGTCGCCGTCGTCCTCCTCGGAATCCTCGTCGGTCTCGCCGTCCGTCGTGACCCACTCCGTCTCCTCTGCCTGCGCTTCTCCCGCTTCATCAGCCATCAATACGGCGATGGCCTGCTCATCCATCTGCGCATTCCCCCTCGCCTCCGCCTCTTCCTGTTCCATCTCGCGCTTCCATTCCTCCCAAGCCCTCTCGTTGGCTCGCACCATGTCGTCCTCTTCCTCGCCACCCGGTGTGAACACGACAACACACAACTTGAACTGTGATTCCGGTGGTCCGTCCTCGGCGCTGCGGCGCACCGAAATACGCGGGAACTCGTTCAGGTGGTAGGCGAAGTTCAGAATGAAGCGGGGTTCGGGCTGGACCTCTTTGTCGGGTGGTGGGGGCTCATCGTGCGCCCCGATAAAGGGCGGCTGAGAGAGTGATAGCCAAACGCTCTTCACACCTCGGATCTGCCCAGCTGGACCGGAGGAAGGTAACCGCGGGTCGGCGACGAAACGGACCACCATCGCCTTCCTCGAGTACGGAATAACGTCTTCGTCTGGAAACAGGCGCACTAGACGAGCATTACGCCACCACGCCAGTTTACCCTCGTTCTCGATCGCCTCGGCTTTGATCTTGGCTTTCGCTCCGTCCCGTTCCCCAGGGTCGGGGAACAAGCCCTCGTTCCAGTGCAGGATGTCCAGGACGTCTGGCGAGCCCCAGGATGAGCGAAACACACCACTGCGGTGGGAGTAGGCTTCCGGACCGCCCCAAGCTCGACCGTAGGCGTTGTGGACTACGTGTCGCTGAAGCTGAGAGTCGATGTGAGATTGGACACGGCGACAGGTCGCTCGGAGTGCGCGGAGAGATGTGTCGTCGCACGACGCTAGAATCTGGTCGAAGATGTGCGGGTAGAAGGCGACATCGAGCTTGGCTGCCATTGTCGTCAGCTCTCTGGGGGTGGGAAGGAGAAGGAACTTCATTTGCCCCGCGGTCGAGTTAGCTCATATCACTTCGGCGGCTGGACCTGGCTGGTGGAGGTGGAGGCCGAGCTCGGCATCTGAAGATCTTCAGAAGGGTGTAGCTGATGGATGGATTATGACCGGCATCACTGCCAGAGAAGCGAGCTCGTATACGAACTGCTGCTAGCGGGTATTCATGAGGTCAGTAAGAAACAAATCTGATCCTTCTATGTACAACAGTTTGAGCATATGTTTAGCAACGATACATTAACGGCAAGATCAACCAGCTAAGGTCTCCTGCGTGTCCGTTCCAGCTACAGATACAGCTTAGATGAGGAGCTTCTCGATCTCGTTCTTGACGGCCTGGATCTGCGAGTTGAGCTCACGGGCCTCGTTGGTGGTGACCGAGGCGGCGATGACGGGGCGCGAAACACCGCAAGCACGGCCAAGGGCGGTCTTCGAGGGGACGAAGCAGTAGACAACGTTCTTGTCCTCGCAGAGGAGGGGGAGGTGGAGGACGATCTCGATGGGCTCGACGTCGGCGGCCATGATGATGAACTCGCAGATACCACGGTTCAGGCTGGATGTCAGCTCGTCCGTTCAACGCGTGCAGCAAGGTGCCATATCGCCAAGTGACTGATGATAGCACGCAGTATGGCTGGTACTTACGTCTTGGTAGCCTCGTTAGCACCCTTCTTGAGCTGCTTGAAGTCTGGGTTTGTCAGCTAAACAGCCCAAAGGTAGCCGCAGTGCGCAAGCACTTACGAGAAGCCTGCTGCACAACATCCAGAATCTGGTTGGTGAGCTGAGCGTTGGCGAGGGGGAAGGCCTTGGGGTTGGGGGCGGACATTGTTGCTGTTTTTGGATGCGATGCGGAAATGCGATGCGGTTGAAGAGTTGACCTCACAAGAAGATCCTAGGTCGATGGAGTGGTTGAGGGTGAGTTGCCTGCTCGTGAGGACCTGAAATCGAGCAGCAAGCAAGATCTGGAGATTTTCGGATGAATCCGAGAAAATCCTCGCAGAATAATCACCACGTGGACGATGCTCACCAGACGCGCTCATCTCAGGATTCAGGACAGAGGTTTATTTGGCTCCGCCACCCTGCGAGTGCCAGGTTCCAGAGCATCCAGTGATGCGTGCCTGGCTCATGACGCGATATACGGCCTGTCTGCCAGCCTGCCAGTCGGGGACACCGACCTTCGAGCGGAACACTCAGATCCTTGTCTCTCACACCGCTCACACACCGGCGAGCGCAATAGTCACACCCTTACACAGTTCCCCGCCAACATGACCGGCGGGGGAGCCTTCGTCACAGCTCCCCGCGAGGAGTACGACCTCGGCGCCAGCGCCTCAGACCACAGCGTCCAATGGGTCGGCACGCCTGGCGTCAAAGGGCCCCCGTGGGCCCGCCTTCCCCTGCTCACCGTCGGCATGCTCGGCACTCAGGTCGTGTGGTCCGTGGAAATGGGCTATGGTATGTTGAGCTTACTCAGCCGGACGCTTAGCTGACTCTCAGCGTCGCCCTATCTTCTGGAGCTGGGGTTGAGCAAGTCATGGATGTCGCTCGTGTTCGTCGCCGGGCCGCTGTCGGGACTCATCGTCCAGCCCCTGATCGGCGCATACGCCGACCGCTGCCGCTCACGGTTCGGCAGAAGACGCCCTTTTATGCTAGCTGGCACCGGTATCGCATGCTTCGGCATGATGCTGCTGGCGTGGTCGCGCGAGCTGGCTGGCCTCCTCGGTCTAGGTGCGTGGGCTGGCATAGCCTGCGCCGTGTTCGCAATCTACCTCATCGACTTTAGCATCAATGCCGTCATGGCGACGGACCGCGCGCTCATCGTCGACACGCTTACGAGCTCACAGCAGGAAGAGGGCAACGCGTGGGCTGGGCGCATGATCGGCATCGGCGGCGTGGCCGGCTTCTTCGTGTGAGTTCACCATCCATCGTGGAGAATGAACTGACAAACAGTGGTAACGTCGACCTCACGCATGTCCTGTTCTTTCTCGGCAATACCCAGCTGCAGATTCTATCCTTCCTGACCTCCTTCCTCCTCGCGACGGCACACTTCTCAACCTCGTGGGCAGTGACGGAGCGTATTCTCCTTCGGGACGAGTGAGCTACTTCCCGATTCCGTGAGCTAACCTGTCAGCCGGCACCAGTCCCGTTCTGGGCTGTGGTCATCTCTCCGCGCAATCTGGGAAAATATGTTCACACTCCCGCCCTCGATCCGGACGATCTGCTTTATCCAGTTCTTCGCGAATCTCGGCTGGTATCCCGTCATGTTCTACACCTCGCTCTGGGTCAGCAACATCTACAAGGAGAACAACCCGCAGGGCACATTGGACAAGGCGACATGGGACGCCGACGCCGTGCGATCAGGCAACCGCGCGCTGTTTCTGCAGGCTATCATCTGCCTGTTCGTATCCGTCATCGCGCCCTTCCTCGTCGCCGACAGCGGCATCCAGTCCTCCGCCAAGGCGAGCTACACCTCTCTGCCGACTGAGGCTGGTGGTGCCGCGCCAACGCACCGCCGACACGGCAGTGTCAGCGACCGCGTCAAGAGCTTTCTCGGCTCGGCAGTGGACTGGGTGCGCTCGGGCGGCATCTCCCTGCCCATCCGCGGCCTGACACTGATTAAGCTCTGGCTCGGTGCGCAGATCGTCTTCGTGAGCTGCATGCTCTGCACGTGGTGGACGACAACAGTGGGTGGGGCGTACTTCCTCATCGGCGTGACGGGATTCGGATGGGCGCTGGCGCAGTGGGCGCCGTTCGCGCTCCTGGGCGAGCTGGTCCTGCTCGACGTGCCGAGTGCGACGCCGGCCGAGCTGGACGCCATCACGCGTAGCGTGGGCACGAGCGAGGTTCTCTTCGCGGCGGTCGAGGAGAGTGCGGGCATGAGCAGTGGACATGCGCGCTCGCGGTCTGCGTCGAGGACGCACGTCCGCGCACCTTCGCACGAGGTCGTGAAGGCCGGAAGCGGCTTCGCAGCCCACCTGAACGACAGTGACGACGAGGACGAGGAGCATGACACGACCGTCGTGCTGCGACACAGCGAGGACGACAGTGACGACGAGGAGCCCGTCCCTCGAACCCCGAGTAGGGCAGGCACAAGGCAGCCAAGCACGGCAGACAAGGCGGGGCTGATTCTCGGCATCCACAACGTCTTCATCGTCATGCCCCAGTTTGTCATCACTGCCGTGTCCAGCTTGGTATTCTACATCATGGAGCCCGGACCGGACGCACCCGTCAAGCCAGATGCGCCCGAGGGCGCGCCAGCGCCGAAGAATCCGGACGCCGTAGGACTCGTGTTCCGTATCGGTGGCACTGCCGCTGCCGTTGGCGCGGTGCTCAGTTATCGCCTCGCGAAGCGATGGGCGCGCGGGGAGCAGTAAGGCAAGCAAAACTGCCACAACGTAGACATAGACTTCTCATCTCTCTGTTCTGTACCAACAATGCATCGTGTGCACTTTCGCTTCATCTGGGCTAGTGCGGCTGCGCTTCTGGCGGCGAAGCTAGATGGGCAAAAAGGTTAGCGTCGACTGTTCTGCGCTTTTCGCTCGGCACAAGCGCCGTTCAAGTCATGCATGTGTGAATCGGGTATCAATACAAGGAGGAGCTCGAGAACGGGTACGGGTTTAGAGTAGATGGGAGGGAATCTCGCGAGAGGTTTTTAGTCGTCACGGCCATTAGGAGGGGGACTGTGTACAGAAAGCGCGTCGTGCTTGTTGTTTTTGGGGAATACCGTCGATCCAACATGGGGCTGCTTGTCTTCTTCGGGACGTCTAACGGAGACATCACTAGTGGGGCGAAAAAAAGAAAAGAAAAAAGGTGTAGAGAAAGTGTTCTCGGATTGGAGTCTGCTGAGGTCCCGCGACGACAGACACTCCACCCAGATCGCTCTTCGTGTGGTTCTCGATCCAGGCAGGGAGCCCGCAGTACCCCTCTGTCGCGTCAAATAAACAAATGGAGACCAAAGATCTAACGTTGTCGGCCAGCTTCTACTTATTTACTCCTCCTTCAGACCCTCATCCTCAACGTCAACAAGACCCGCCTCACCGAGCAGTCCGGCAATCCAGCGCGTGACCTCGCCTTCCTCAACACCGCCGTTGTCGTCAACAACTTCTCCGACGGGCTTGCCAGAGACAACAAGCGCCTTGTGGATCAGGCTCTTGCCGTTGTTCGAGGTCGTGGAAAGAGTGAGGTGGACGAGGTACGTCGGGCCGTTTGGATGCGGCTTGATACCGCTGTCCCCGTTCAGCTGCTGTGTGGCAGTCGACTTCAGGGTGGCGGGAGAAGAGAGGGGTGACGTCGTGTCGACCGGCGACGACGGGCGCGAGTTGGGCGACACGCTGAGCACCGGCTCAGGAGGAGGGAGAAGGGAAGTCGACGTGTGGATCTGGATGAGGTCGGTCTCGATCTGTTGCAAAGTCAGCAGTCGAGCATCTGGATGTGATTCAGAAGCAGACAATACTCACGCGCTTGACGACTCGTCGGCGGCGGCCGCGGAACACCTCGCCACGTTCAACCCATCGCTTCCAAGCCCATAGAGCAGATTGGAACGCGCCGTACGCAATTACTCCGATCCACAGGTACGGCTTGCTCTCCTCGAAGGACATTCCCTTCAGATAGGTGTACAGGAAAGCACCCAGCGAGATAAGACAAGACGCATATCCGCAGACAAGATGAACGGTGGCATGCAAATGCGAGGGCGTAAACGCCTGATCGGCGAGATACTGTTTCGTCAGCTTGTCCGAGCAGAAAGTGCGGGGTGTCTTCTGTGACTTGTGACTCATCTGAGCAGTGCACAAGATTGGCGCACACACATACCTTTTTGACAATGTCATCGAGCGACGTCTTGATCTCCGCAAGATGAGATTTGTTGACCCTCACTGTCGGAAGGGGGTCGGTCGCGAGGCTGAGGGAAGGAGAGGCGCTGATAGACGCGTCGACGACTTGGACCGACTCCTTGGATGACGCTGCGGCCGAACGCGCGGCAGTGCCCTTGCGTTGGGACATGATCGTTGTCCTTCCTGGGCTTGCTGCAAACGTGCTCGGCACGGAAAGAGGAGGGGGGAAGGGAGGGAAGAGGAAAGCGACCGGCGGCGGGTCGAGGTTGACGAAGGAAACGAGCTGAAAGAAATTGATGAAGAGAGAGATGGGAAGCGGATGGCGGCGTGACAGCGAGTAGACTAAGGCAGACCAGCGTCGAGCGTGAGTACGTGAGTGGACCAGGCAGCCAAGGCTGGCTCTGTTGCCCTGGGCCCGCAGACCGCAGGCTCGCGCAGGCAGGTGTCGATCGCCTGCCCTGCGTGTCAGCATTCCTGCCCTTCCGTATCAGCAGTGACGTGTCACCGCGGAACCAAACCTATCACTGTGCCGAGCCTCACCGTCACGGCTCACTGCTCGTCAGCCGCTCACCAGGTGACGCACATGCATGTTGTCCGTCAGACTCTCTCCGCCGTCTGAAGTCGACAAAGCCCAACATGGAGGCACTTCAGTTCAACGTGAGTACGAATAGTAACGAATGGCGCAGTCTATCTTCTTCTTCTAGCCGCGGAGCAAAACTCGCTCGGCGAGCAGCCAGCTCCTCAAAGCAGTGCGATGCTAACTCACGTCATAGGTGGACAACGGCTACCTCGAGGGCATCGTTCGCGGTTACCGGGGGGCGCTCCTCACCCAGAACAACTACCACAACCTGACACAGTGCGAGAACCTTGAGGACTTTCGTCTCCAGCTCTCAGCGACCGACTATGGAAACTTCCTTGCCAATGAGCCCCTTCCTCTCTCCACAGCCACCATCGCGGACAAGGTAAGCTCTCCGCGATGTTCAAGCTAATCACTCAGGCTACTGCTAAGCTCGTCTCCGAGTTCAACTACCTCAGGACGAACGCCGTTGAGCCGCTGGCCAAGTTCCTCGACTACATTACGTACGCGTACATGATCGACAATGTTATTCTCCTCACCCTCGGTACCCTGCACGAGCGCGACACCCACGAGCTCTTGGAGCGCTGCCACCCGCTAGGATGGTTCGACACCCTGCCAGCTCTCTGTGTTGCTACGAACGTCGAGGAGCTTTACCACACTGTACTCGTCGAGACCCCCCTTGCCCCCTACTTCCGCGACTGCCTTTCAGCTCAGGACTTGGACGACCTCAACATCGAGATTATCAGGAATTCGCTGTACAAGGCGTACCTCGAGGACTTCTACAAGTTCTGTCAGACCCTTCCCTCTCCGACGGGAGAGGTCATGCAGCGTATCCTTGCATTTGAGGCCGATCGCCGATCGATCAACATCACGATCAACTCGTTCGGCACTGAGCTCACCAAGGAGCAGCGTGCGCGTCTCTTCCCCACTGTCGGTCGTCTGTATCCCGAGGGCAACAACGCTCTTGCCCGTGCCGATGATGTCGAGCAGGTTGTCGCGGCTGTCGACTACGTTCCGGACTACAAGCGGTTCTTCGACAAGGCGGGAACCTCGAGCACGGGACAGGGCAACAACGAGGAGTCCGGATCGAGCCTGGAGGACGAGTTCTTCAAGCACGACGTCGACCTGAACAAGAAGAGCTTCCTGCAGCAGTTCCAGTACTCGGTCTTCTACTCATTCATCAAGCTGAAGGAGCAGGAGGTGCGTAACCTGACGTGGATCGCCGAGTGCATCGCCCAGGACGCGCGTGAGAGGATCAACGATTACATTCCGATTTTCTAGAGTTGTGAAAGCGTAGCGTGAGCGCAAGCCGATACAGATTTGTAGTCAAGCACCATGTAATGCATAGATACCCCGAAGCGTAGCCAGCAGCCAGTAGGCCGATGGCGATCGATCGCAGCATCGCTCATCTGATAACAGAGTCACCGACGTGCTTATACAGAGTGCCACGCTCGGCGTTTCCCGGACGGTCGCGTGGTGGACCCTGGCGTGTCGAGCATTGAAAATTAGGACCCGCGTTTGTGTAGCAGCAGGGCGTGTCAGAAAGGGTCGCCTGGGTGGGACCCGGCTGGGCGCGCGCCAGGCAAGCCATGTGAATCGGGTATCAATACAAGGAGGAGCTCGAGAACGGGTACGGGTTTAGAGTAGATGGGAGGGAATCTCGCGAGAGGTTTTTAGTCGTCACGGCCATTAGGAGGGGGACTGTGTACAGAAAGCGCGTCGTGCTTGTTGTTTTTGGGGAATACCGTCGATCCAACATGGGGCTGCTTGTCTTCTTCGGGACGTCTAACGGAGACATCACTAGTGGGGCGAAAAAAAGAAAAGAAAAAAGGTGTAGGATGATAGCACGCAGTATGGCTGGTACTTACGTCTTGGTAGCCTCGTTAGCACCCTTCTTGAGCTGCTTGAAGTCTGGGTTTGTCAGCTAAACAGCCCAAAGGTAGCCGCAGTGCGCAAGCACTTACGAGAAGCCTGCTGCACAACATCCAGAATCTGGTTGGTGAGCTGAGCGTTGGCGAGGGGGAAGGCCTTGGGGTTGGGGGCGGACATTGTTGCTGTTTTTGGATGCGATGCGGAAATGCGATGCGGTTGAAGAGTTGACCTCACAAGAAGATCCTAGGTCGATGGAGTGGTTGGCCGCCAGGTTTCGTGGACGAGGGACGAGAAGGGCCCGCTGTAGTCGCCCTCCACGTTAGTCGAGGACGGGCAGCAAGCCCAGTGACCACCTTCTACACGGCCGCAACTCTTCTGTTCTTCCATCTACCACTCCTCTACTCCTTTCCACCAACCACACATCATGGGTCTCTCGGTCTCCCGCCTGCTCTCCGGCCTCTTCGGCAAGAAGGAGATGCGTAAGTATCCAGCCCATCCGTCGAACCCCGCGCCGCCGAACGACGATTGCGCAACCATCAGACATTTGCCTCCAACTCTCGGATCTCCTAGCTCTTATCCGACCTTCCTCCCTCCGCCCTCACGCGCCCCACCTCGACATTGATTGCTGACTCGCTCCCCAGGTATTCTTATGGTCGGTCTCGATGCCGCTGGTAAGACTACCATCCTCTACAAGCTCAAGCTCGGAGAGATTGTCACCACCATCCCCACCATCGGTAAGCGTCTACGATTACGCGCTTTTCTCGAAAGGGACACGACGGCATTGCGCGCACGACGCTTTGCCACCCAAGCTCGAGCATTCTCGTGTTGGATTCGGCCTCATGTGACACTTGGATGCTCGGCATGGGGCGAAGCGCGTGTGCACCGCTGTCGCGTCCCGCGCGCACGAAAGCGGCAAACGAAATTGAGAGGCTAACGTCGCCCTAGGCTTCAACGTCGAGACTGTCGAGTACAAGAACATCTCCTTCACCGTTTGGGACGTCGGAGGACAGGACAAGATCCGTCCCCTCTGGAGGCACTGTGCGTCTACCTGATTGCAAGCACGGGCGACAAGCCGCCGCCCGGCGCTGGGCCAGAACGGCAGTTACTGACCACCCATCACAGACTTCCAGAACACCCAGGGCATCATCTTCGTCGTTGACTCCAACGACAGGGAGCGTATCACTGAGGCCCGCGAGGAGCGTGAGTTGAGACGATACTCGAGAGGCGTTCTATCTGCTGACCACCGAATACAGTGCAGCGCATGCTGAGCGAAGATGAGCTCCGTGACGCCCTCCTCCTCGTCTTCGCCAACAAGCAGGTACGTCGCAGCAAAAGGCGCTACGCGCACCCTGCACAGCTATTCTTCGCGCTATAAGAAGCAGCACTGACTTCCGCTCAGGACCTGCCCAACGCCATGAACGCCGCCGACATCACGGACAAGCTCGGTCTCCACTCGCTCCGCCAGCGCCAGTGGTACATCCAGGCCGCCTGTGCTACCTCCGGTGACGGTCTCTACGAGGGTCTCGAGTGGCTCTCCGTTAACCTCAAGAAGCGCGGCCAGTAATCGCATCCAGCGCCCTAGCATCTCTCTCGACCGTGCCCTCCCCTCGTTCGACCGCGAGCCCTTTTCGTCATCCCTCGTGGTCGTTCTCCTCCCCAATATTCCCCTTCTCTCCCCCCTGGCCTGACCCATGCCACATCTTTCCGTCTCTCTCACTACCCGGCCGTTCTGAAATGAAACTATTCTATTTATATTCAGTTGTGTCTGGCGGTGCGAAAAATGGATTTAGGTAGATGATATGCCCCGTGACGTTCCATATTCCAACCTTCGGTCCGGAAGGTGCACATTGAACGCTGACAAGTCGTGGTACAGCGAAGTCTTGGCGACCTGCCAGAGGCATCTCTAGTGAGATTCGCGCGCCGCCAGGTGTGACATGACGTGCCTTGCGCACTGAATGGCAGAGCGAAGTAAACAGCAGGAGTGCTGCAGAGACCAGTGGTCAGTTCGTCAAATGTCAGACGACCAGCGAATACGGACCGGAAAGCATTACTAAATTCGAGAGCGCCTTGCTGGAACTGAGTTTGGTGGCAACGTAAGGAAGCGCGCCATGCATGAAGCGTCGCGTGAGGTGTGTCGAACCATGTACCATGGGCGCTTCGTACGTGCGTTGCCGGCTGGATCTGATGGCGGCCAGGCAGGCAGGCACAGCCCGAATGACGCTGGGTGATGGACAGTGATGTAAGGAGGGGTCGGATAAGGTCGTGGTTCTTTCGGCGGAACGCTTTCGCAAGAAGTGTAAGGATCATTGCCTCTTTTCCGTCTCATATCCACAAAACAAACTCCCCGCCACCTATCCACCATGTCGCAGACCAGCTCCATCCCCCGCGCGGGCAAGATCGCCCTCCTCACCGTCGGTGCCCTCACCGCTGGCGCCCTCGGCTACGCTGTCTACTTCGACTACATGCGCCGCAACTCCGCGGAGTTCCGTAAGGGACTGAGTGAGTGTCGCAAATGACGATCGCGGCCGGAAAATGGTCCGGAATATCGCTGTGACCCAACGCAGAGCGCACCGCCCTTGCAAGCATGGCTCTGCTGTAGATCTGCAGTCATCGAATGCCCTTGCAAGCGTTTCTAGCGTTCTGGAATCCGGTTTCTGGATTCCCGCACCTGTTTTGCCGAGCAATATTCGGTCACGCAGGAACCTCGGTCGCTGTCGTCACCAGAGCCTACAGATTGCTTGCACAGCTAACAGGCACAGAGAAGCAGCAGAAGAAGGTCAAGCAGCAGCAGGAGGCTGCCGCCAAGCACCAGGCTGAGGCCGACCAGCGCGTGAGTATGGGCTGCGGAGCGTCCGCAGGAAGGGGGAGGTATGGACTTTGCTGACGATTGACAGGAGCTCACCATGGCCCTCGTTGAGCTTGAGCTCGAGATGCCCCCCTCGTCGCCGGAGCAGATGGAGGTGTACTTCCAGGAGCACGTCGCCACCGCCGAGGCTCTCGCTGCCAAGGGTGAGTAATCCAGCTAACCAGCTACGCTTCTACGACCCTGAACTGACAGTCAGGCCCCGAGAACTACGTTAAGGCCGCTACCCACTTCTACCGTGCCCTCCGCGTCTATCCCCAGCCCGTCGAGCTTCTCATGAGTGAGTCAATCACAGCGCCTCAGCTGCGGAGTTCATACGGATTGATGGCTAATTCCCAGTCTACCAGAAGGTCTGCCCCGAGCGCGTTTTCCAGCTTGTCCTCAAGCTCACGCAGCTTACCGCCGCTGCCGCTGGTGCCTCTGCTGGCGCTGCCCCGGCTGCCCAGCCCGCCTCGGTCGCCGACATCGACGACGCCATCGCCAAGGACGAGAAGGAGGAGGAGAAGGAGGTCGCTGCCGAGATCGAGAAGGTCCTCGAGGAGGCCGAGAAGGAGGAGGAGGAGGAGGCCAAGTCTGAGGATGCCCCCGAGTCCAACAACGGCTCTGGCGCTTCGTGGGACCACGTTAGCCACGAGGCCTAAGTGCCCCTCATCCCACTTTGAGGCGGTCTGAGGAGCTGAAGTGAACCCGGACGTAGGCTTCCCAGGGCACTCGGGCTTCCAGACCGGTCTCACCCAATACCTTTAACGTATCTTGATGTCTCCCTCGCATGACTCGCTAGGATAAGAACAGTTAAGGACCCAATCCCGCCCACATCTTAATCTCCCACTCATATCCCCCCACCATCATCAACCATCCAAAACCTTGGCATAGGAGACGAGCTACGCGCTCGCGCTAGACTTAGCACACTGCTCTATATGTATCGCCTTTGCGCTGTTATAGGAGAACATGTCAGCTGATATCTGCTTCGACCATCGTGAAGAGCTACTCACAGCAAGACATGCACCAATGTAGCGTGCACTTCGAAAAACACAGTTAGCGCAGGTCTCGGTGACTTGGTCGTTCACGTGGTCTCGGCGCGTCGGAAAGAAAACATGAGACGCGCGCCCTGACCGGATGACCGGAAAGTCAGAAGTCACCGTTATTTGTCTCTCTCTGGCTGGTCTGTCCGACTGCCCATTCCTCCATCTGTCTTCCTTCCGCGCGTAGTCTTGTTGTTCCTACCCATAACGTACTCGTCTTTGTCTGTCAACACTCTTGTTTTGTCCCGCAACATCCACCCCGGCCCTCACTGCACACGACATCTGCGGAGTACTTCGCCGTTACGCCGCGCGTAAACAAAACAACAAACTGAGCGGTTGACTCAACCCCAGTAACATGTCTCGCCACCGAAATCACTTCGACGTCGACTCGAGCGACGATGACCTCGGAATCGACATCGAGCAGGAGAGCGAATCCGAGATCACTCTCCCTGCTGTGCATACCCCGCCACCACCGCCGAAGGGGCTGATCATATCCAAGCTAGGTGTTCAGGCCACGACGGGCGATGGCGTTGCGACAGGGCTTCTCTGCCTGAAGGTATGTCTGACGGGTGGAGGGTCATCTAAGGCCCGATCACATCCATCTCCATCATCTGCAATCGTGCTGCGGCTTACTCCAGATCACTCTTCCTCGCGATTGCGATCGACCAGACCGATGGGGCTTGTTCAGTGGGGACGGTGAGTCGCTTGGTCGGCATGACCAACGTCACAGGCTCGCCGCGACAGCGCCGCTAGCGTACTAACATCAGCGCCCCGTCCGAAGCTCCGATCCATTCCCGCCCTCTACCCCCTGCCGATCAGCCCAGCCCTTCTCGAGAACAAGAGCAGCAATCTGAGGGTTGCGACTCAGCTCCTTGGTCTGTCTCCGACGCTCAGCGATGCCGGCAGCTCTATCCCATCGAAGCCTTACATCGACGTGTCCGCTACGACTGGTCAGGTCTTTGTGGCCCTCGACCCAGCAACGAGCAGCGGAACGCCACGGAGACGATCGAGCATCGGATCGCGGATGGGCGGACGCACAGAATGGCTGGTCGTGGTCGAGTTTGAGATCCCGATCGAGAAGGGAGTGGAGAACTTGTTCCGAGTGGGTACCCAGCCTCGGCATCAGCTTGGCGGATGCCCAACGCTGACATTGCAGACCCAGATTCCCGTGCCGCGGTGTCTCGACAGCGTCATTCGTTTCCACGTCTTACCAAGTGAGGATGACAACATGGAGGTCAACATCGCAATTGAGCCCAAGGTTCTGCCGTTCTCAACACCGATAGGAAAGAATCGGTCGCCGCCTTCCCCGTCAAAGAAGGGTCGAAGCGATCACTCCATGTGGGACGACAGCAACGGAATAAGCGACGATGACAGCGATGACGGGTTCGGAAGCTGGCTCGAGGGTCGATTCCAGAGGTGCGCTAATTATGCTGCAATCAGAGCTGACCGCAGTACCGACTCACTGTTCATCGAATGGGCTCTCGTTCCATCTGTCGGCTCTCCGCCGGATCTGCGGGTGACTCCCGCGTGGCGTCAAGGTCAGCCGACGATCAGCTTGTCCTTCGAAGCGACGCTGCCGCCCGGCCCGAGCTCATTGGGTCTTGGTGTGGTCCTGCCACAAGCCTGGGGATGGCAAGAGCTGGAGATTCGGGGCGATGGTTTGCTCGGGTGGCGCTCGTCTGGCGAGAGCTCGGGCGTGCTTGCTTCTGCAGTTTCGCCGAACGGACATGTCGATCCCGATTCTACCGCAACAATGGACGACTTGCATGGCCTGAACGGGCTCAGCACTCCACCTCCAGACCATCAGGTGGCGTTAGCCGATCTCGAACCCGACGACTTCAGCTTTGAGCTTAACTCGATTCGAACCGACGCACGGCCTCGCCCGGTTACACCCAGCTTGCGTCGAAGCATCACTGCCGAACTCGCCCAAGCCTCCATGTTCAAGGTCAAGCCCCGCGCGCCCGTGCACGCTTCGTCATTCGAGCTCGAGTTTGAAGACGACGGCGAGGAGGAAGACCGCGTCATCATACTTAGGGGGGTTCTCGCGCCTCTGCCTTTGACGCTGGTTCCTCCCGAGAGCAACATGGAAGTCCCCTTCGTGCGCTTCCTCGATCCTTCCTTACCCACACGCGCGGCCGTTATCTGTGACAATGCGACCTTCCACACTTCCGAAGAGGCTACGGGGCAGGAGGGAAGGCGTCTTTGCGACATCTGGAAGCCGAGCATCGGAACGTTCTCGTGGGGTGACGAAGCATTATCGAACCAGGATGCAGCTGTTGTGAGCGGGCCAGTCAAGGTCGTCGCTCAGAGGGACATCTGGGGCGTTCAGACTGTCGCGCTTGCGTTCCAATGGCCCATCGATGCTCACGGAATCAAGTTCGACGTTCCTACTAAGACCGCCAGGATTGTGCGTGCAACTGCGCTCGGTCGGCAGATTGCCAGGTCCATCACCGAGAAGGACGGTTCGGTCCAAATTAGGCTTGCAGGTGGCCGAGGTGTAGTTGAAGTTGTCCTAGAGGTGGCCAGTGCTGAAGGTGTGGCACTGCCATCATTCCCTGGGGCCACTGGAGAAATCGCTGTTGAGCTTGTGGGGCCCGGATGGGACAGTGAGTTTCGGATAAGCCTCCCCGCTAACGTTAACAGGGATCCTGAATGCCGAGCCCAAGACGAATCTCAGACGGATCGATGCCATGACCTTTACCGGAAGCTTGAGCCCTGCTCCGACCATCTCATTCACTGCCCCTACTGTCGCGGAGAAGGTCTCGGAGACCAAGCTCATCGAGAGAGTCGTGGTGGAGCGACCGCCTAAGAGCCGCTGGCGCCGTATCGTCTCTTTCACGACCCTGTTCAACCTCCTCCTGGTTTACGTTCTCGTGTCCCTCGCGCAGGAAGTCCAGAAGCTCCGTAGTGAGGTCCAGTTCATCGCGGATGAGCAGCGAGATTTGAGGGTATACGGTTTCGAGCGTGCCAACTCCCGGGGATGGGTTGAGCGCGAAACGACAGAGCGCTGGGATGAAAGTGCTGTGCGTCCTGGTCAGCAGCCCAACGGGGAGGAGGTGCCTCGAAACGAGGAAGACCCAAGAGACCGGGGCCAAGCCGATCAAGGAACAACGGCAGAATCGTCGCCTGACCCGACGCGCGTCAATTCGGAAGCCACCCAACAAAATCAATCAGCTGGCACCCATTCAGTTGTTTCAGCGACCAACCCCAACTACGGTTTAGGACGGGTTGTGGTGAAGCGCACGAGTTGGAAGGACTGGATCAACCACCCGACGTAAGTTGACGTTGCTCATCCCTATTACTTCAGCTGACGATCGCCACAGGGTCCAGAAGGTCGCGACAACGCTGTCGCGGTTGTGGCACACGCTATCTTGGTTGTTGCTTTAGGTACGACACGGTCAACGCCGTAGATGAGGTAATGATGCACCAGTACCTCGGTCGACGGAGCAACCCACGTGACATTGCGTCATGACATTGAGTTGAGGATCCCACACTATGGAGCAGACTGACCGCATGGTTCATGGTCGTGTGCCCCACAATGCGCCCCAGTTGTATGCACGCATGCGTGTCCGACGTCTTGACAGTGCGGGGCCGGGACTCGTGACCGCTGTGGGCCTCGCTTTCTCCCGTCGAACCGCAGTCCTAGCAGAGCACTTAAAAGCCACCACTCACTTGCCACTGCAACCCTTCCTACCATCACTCACCGTCGCTGATCGCAATGGACGACATCTTCAAGCACCACAAGCCGACTCACACATCGAGCATCGTCATCACCCCTCCCCCCACCCACACCGGGCACACGGGACTCGTCGTGAGTACTGCTGCTGATGTCACAGAGGTATCCAATCTGCGCCTTGTCGGACCTGGTTCCACCCTTCGTCTGGACACGCCGAGAGTGTCTCTCGCTGATACAGCATGCTCTGCACTCCACCAAGGGAGGGGGATGGCGCAGATTGGATACCCGACGAGACTCACACAGCCCGAGATGCCCTCGCTGACCTCAACAGTTCCCGACGAACCTGTCTCTGCAGTTCATCGGCAAGGCGGGCCAGGTGTCATTATGGGTCTTCTTCATCATCTTCTTCTGCGCGACGATCGGTGTCGGTCTCATCGTCGGCCGCGTTGAGAAGCGTGCCCGTGTCTTCCATGCGTGAGTACTTTTCTGCTGCCTGCTAAGCGAGGATGTATGTGGGCGGGTCGGTTGGTGCTGGGGTGGTTTCGACCCACCATGCCCAGCCTGAGCCGATGACGTAGTGGGAATGTCAGACACAGGCCACCACAGTTTCGTGGTGCGCGCGTTCCTGGACGTCATTTCACGGTGCATGCGGAGCGCACCAGCCGCGGCAGCCTTTGTGCACGCATGCACACAAGTCAAAGCGTTATCACATGTGCGCAGCGCATGTGCGTGCATGCACGAGCGCACATGCGTTCGCTGAGCGCTGTGGCTGGCGCGACCTGCGTCGCTGCCGTCTTGTAGAAACTTCGATCCCTCATTACCCCGAGGCCATGACCGAGGGGAGTCGAGGGACTGACTATCCGGCCCACACGCCGTTAGCGTGCACCATGCCACCGGCAGCAGGCTGCCATCCTCCGAAACGGAGTCCGATGCGGAGAACGAGTTCAAGCAATGAACGCTGACCACCCAGCCTGTCGGCCTTGACGCTCTCGATCGCGACCATGGCCTACTTCGCGATGGCGACTGGTGTTGGCTCGACCGGCCCCGACGGCGCCGACTGGGGTCATCGCATCGGCCAGCCCTGGCGCCCGCACCACGCCGGCCGCCCCATTCCGCCCTCCAAGTCGCCCAAGGACCCCGGCTCTGGCGTCCCCGTCGAGCAGGTCACTGTCTACGCCCGTCAGCACTTCTGGGTGCACGATGTCGCGCACGCGGCCACAGCCAGCATTCTGATCTTCGTCCTCGGCATTCTCTCGCGCATGCCCCCCATCCTGACGCTGACCGGCATGTTCGCCGCGTTCTTCTCGAGCGTCTCGATTGCCTTTGCCTCGCTCGTCTCGTCTGGTAACCAGCGCCCGCACCTTGGCAAGCTTCTCGGCTGGGGCCTCATGAGCGACGCCTGGATGCTCGTCGTCTTCTGGATCATCCTCCTGCCCGGTGTCAATGCTGTGCGCCGCCGCTCCTCCCGCTCTCAGGGCATCTACTACATGCTCGTCGTGCTCAGCTTCATCTCCTGGGTCGCATACGCCGTCAACTTCATCCTCGGCCCCGCTCTCAACGTCTGGAGCGTCAACGTCGAGACCATCATCACCGGTGTCGTTGACGTCTTTGGCATCATCGGCTTCGTCTACTTCCTCCTCGCTACCTACACCCACGACGACAACGACGACTGCTGGCTCTTCCCTGACTGGTTCGTCGAGGCCGCCGAGGCGTTCGGCAGCGACGGCCGTGGCACCTACGCCGCTGCCGCTTCCGAGTAAACGCAAGGCTTCAAAGTCGGTCCGCAGGCTGCGCGTCAGTGCATGTCAGTGGACCCGTATGTCCATAAACAAATTCGGCTGATCTGTGCCCAAGCGCAGTCAACACGATGAGTATCAAGTTCAACACTGAGAAAAAGACAATGAAGAAATGAAGATATAGTCAGCAGTCAGTAGTTCTCTATGCTAGCTGTAGTTTAACGTGCGGTTGAGAAGACGGAACAGCAGTCGTAGTCCGGCCATGTATCCACTTTCGCCCTCACGTTGCGCGTTGCACATTCCCTTCGGGCATCGGCCTCGGACTTCGGTGCTAGTCGTGGCGGCGCATCTGCGATCCGCATTCCTTCCTAGCGTTGCTGGGAGTGTACGACGCACATCCAGAGGATCGGGCATCGACAGCTGCCTGATCTACTGATCTGACCGAGGTCGTTGACGACAGCAGTGCCACACACATCACGCAAGCTGGCGTCAAGTGAGGGCGCTTGTTCGGCATGACCGAGCACTTGGGCCGTCCACATGCCTCCCTAGCGTCGTTGCATTATGGGGCATCGCCAACAACTAAAGGGGCGTACGCGCTATGGGCAGAGCAAGGGGCTGTTCACCAGATCACCCGCGCCATCCGTCCCACTTGAATGATGGACCTCGGTGAAAGCTGACCTCAGACCGGGACGATTGTGACCATGTTCCCTACATACCTTTCGATCTAGTGTTCTACCTAAGCTTAGAGTGATACGTCTTACAACTTTGCCCCACCGACCGCCTTCCAGGTCTTAGTGTGCGTTCCGCTCGCAATCTTGCGTCCCGTGTCCCAGTCAGAGATCTGATTGTCAGCTGTCTTCCTTGCCTTTCTTCGACTTCCTTCCCTTCTTCCTCAGCCTCCATCCGCCTTGTTGCTTCAACTCCCTGCAGCTCCCTCGCCATACCCCTACGCCATGTTCTTCCGCTTCCTTCATGTTGTCACAGTGACACAGTGACCCTCTTTCCTTGCTCCGGACTGTGTATTCGGATATCCGCATACGTAAGATACCAGTGATCCGCTCGCCCCCAAGCCAACGGTTCCAGCGCATGCAGCGCAATCCAGCGAACCGCACGCCCTTGTACCTTGACGCACCCGCTTGCACCAGGAAGACAAGGTTTAGTGCAGGAAGGGAAAGATCTGGACGCCACAGGGCACAGAATGATGGTCCAAAGGAGGGCAGGGTTGTAGGTGCGAATTTCATTGCGGTCTTTGCTGCGGGCAACAAGAACGCCAAACGTGGGGGCAGCGAGCAGAGCGGATCACAGTCCCGGTTAAAGGACCTGCAGTGTCTTCGAGCGGCTGAGACCTGCCCGAGCATGCCGAGCAACCCCGTCTTGCCATCCTCGTCGACAACGACGTGTGCCTCATCGCTGCCCCTATCCACCTGGGGGCGGCCCTGGCGCTTAGCGATGCTCCGCTACTCGTGCGTGCAGCAGACTCAACCATTCACCTTATCTGTCTGCCCTCTCAACCTTTACCTTCCCCTCTGTACTTCTCTCTCCCTCTCCTCTCAACATAGGCAACAGAAGGGATCGGAAACGGAACTCACGTCAACACGGAGATTGGCCAGGCTTCCGTTCATGCGTTCGATGGTGACAACGATACGCAGCTTCATTCCTCTGTTCACGTCAGCTTATACGTCTTCCCAAAGAAAGCTTACACAGGAGCCGCATTGAAGTACAGCATGTCGATCGCGAGCGATACGCCAGTCAGCATGGGCGGGCCCCACCACGTGTCGGTAGCGAGAGGTGCAATGGCAACGGAAGAGATACTGCTGTCAGCTTAGGGAGAGTTGCCGACGAGCTTACACATCGACGATCCAGGCGGCGGCGGCGCCGTGCAGGTTTCCGAGACCGTTCGTCCAGTCTGCGCACGGTTAGTGGCTACGCTCGAGTAGGTCAAGGAATGCAGGAGAAGGACAACAGAACAGAACTGCCGAGTGAAAGAGCGGCCAAGCGGAGGACACACCTTTCTGGACCGTCGCGACAAAAACTGATCGCCATCCATCAACATTTCGCCCGCCCTTCGCGTTGACAGCAGGAATCGGGTCGTACGCGTACGGCTCGATGTCCTTGATCATGCCCTTCGAGTAGTTGCTGAGCATTCCCTGCTGGAACGCGTCCTTGTCCTCCTGCGTCGCAGGGATCATGTTCGAGTTGGAGCCCATTGCTGCGTCGTCTTCGTCAGTCCGAGTGATGTGAGCGCGAGTCTACAGCTGCTCGAGGTCGAGAAGATGGACGAAGGCAACGGCTCCGGCGCAAAGTTCTTGGAGAACGCTCGGCTGGTCGCAGCTCATAGCCGGTTGTGGTGGAGGAAGGTCGGCCACGTCCGCTCCTCCACTTTCATTCACGTGACTGAGCGGAGCATGGCTTTCACGTGGGTGGGTAGAGGCACTGTGTGTCTGGACTTTTGCGTTCACGTGACAGGAACAACCTCTCTCGTGATCCGGGCTCGATCATGATTCCCAGAAACAGTGGCAGAGAGGGCACTGCCGGCAGCATTCAGTCACGGTCTTAGGAACTCCGTCTCTCGTTATCGTGAGCAAATCGTCCGCCCTCATGCGTCGGATGCTGTTCGATGACCCCTCCGCCTCCCCTGGTTGGCCACTCCTCAACGGCCACACTGCCACACCTCCTTTCACCAGGAACCGGAGCTTGCTCGTCAGGCTCTGTCGTCGGACACCAACGAGGTCGTGTGGGCGGTCGCGCGACGCGTTCCAAGGTGCTAGCCCAAGGAGGTCGTCACCCGTCGCGCGACCAACCGCCCACTGCGGCTCACCGAGCACCGAGCTAGTCTGCACCGAGATGATGATGAACTGTCCAAAGACAAAGTTTGGAAGATATGATGTGGAGGTAGAGAAAGCGGACGGCCTACGCGCCGCTGAAAAGGACCACCTCGGTCATCCTTTGGCCAGACCAGGGTCCGAGGTTCTTCCGTCGCCAGGCAGCCCACCGTAGCCTTCCACGGCATCTCCCGTCCCCAGCGGCAACGTAGACGGCAGCGGCTCATGGCAGCTAATCAGATTCTGCTGTGCGTGCGATCGCTTGAGGATAAGCGCGGGCCGCCATCGGTACTCCGTTCCGCTGTTCTTCGAGCATTCATTCATTAGCGGAGGTCGGATCGGGGAGAAATGTCCACTCTCCACGGTAGCACGGAGAGCGGACCGGTGCGATGCGAGCAACGTGGGTTTGGGACCCGCTGCGGGGTCGTTACGAAGCACGGCGATGGGTCTCGGTTCTTTTAGAGTGCCTTTAGGCGCGGAGTGGAGTGGGAGAGTGGGAGCGACTTCATCGAGCGCCCGGACGAGATCAGAATTCTAGGAATCCAGGTTTCGTCCAGGTTTCGACCAGATAGTCGGCGAGGTACCCAGGTACGCCAGGTGAGACACAGGGTGCCTTGGACTAAACGCGTTCCTGCATACCGTACCGCCCTCTGCCGGAGCTTTAGCTTCGTTAGTCTCGTTTGTGAGTCCGCAGGGTTGGGAAGCCCGGTGAACTGCTCCGGACAGGCGTCGGGCAGTAGAGTTGCGCACGCTGTTTGGGTTGCTGCCGTCAAGGCACTCCACACTGGAGACCTCGACAGGTGCTGCTGGCGAGCTTGCCGGCGCCGTTTATGTGGTGACCTGAGCTCTCAACGCTTCGTCAAACATCAAGCGAATCCTCGGCGTCGGCACCGCGGAGAGGCACAGGGTCACTGCTGCTGTCCGCTCTCCGCCCTGCGTTCCAGGCCAGTGGAACCGAAGACCCAATGAATCTCCGATGCACCCTTGTTCCTATGCGCAGAAGTTGCGTGACGCATGGGAAGGGGCGGGGCTGACCTGGATAAAGAGGTGCAGGAAGGGAAGGTGGGGTATCCGATGCTGTGCAGGCTCTGAATGATAAAGAGGGATGGAAGGATATACCCCGGACCGTAGAGCTGCCAGCCGCTGGATGGATCTGGGGTAGACAAAGTTTGCCTGACTGTCTCACCTCGCTGCCAGCTGCGCCTGCCCTAGCGTCGTTGGAAACGGCCGAATGCCGGATTCCGCCATGCCGGGCTCTGCAAGGAGGGTTTGGCGAAGGCAGGGTTGGCGGTTAGGCATGCTTGAGGGAATGAGGAGTACGACGGTGAGGGTGATGATCGTCATGCCACAATAAACGACATGCCGCTGAGCTGGCACTAAGGACGTCAGTAGGGTACGGGGCCGCCCTGCGCCGCAAGGACGTGCTCAATTGATGCTGTCTCGGTACCTATCTGACGCCCGCGGCGTCCATGGCGTTAGGCGTTGTTCGGTGTGTGGAGCCTGTGGGCGCGCCCTGTCGTTAGTGTCGGGTGCCCTGTTACCCTACGGCTGGTATGTCGGCGTCTGATGAGAGGTTCGGGACAGGTCGCATTGTCATGGCCGGTGAGGGCAGCGGTGGTCAGCAGGTCATCACGCTTTCAGGATGCGGGTGTCGTCAGGACTCGCCCCCGAGGAAGCAAAGCGGATGAGGTTAGAGCATTCGGCAAGCTGGTGACTGGTTGTGGGCGGGTCGCAGATTATAGGAAAGCAGGGCCGCAGCGGGCAGAACAATGGGAAAGTGCACAGCAATGCGGTCGACAGTTACGTCGGACGCGTGCAGGTGGGTGCTGTCCCAGAGTGCGAGATATTGAGGCGCCGCGGGTAGATCACAAGTGACGATGGCGGCGCTGGGTGGCTCAGGTGGATCACTGGTTCCGGAAAATGTTGCACCTCTAATGGTACTCGCGACGGTGATCCGTCAGGCGTCCTGAGACGGCGCCTGGCTGTCAGGTGGCGGCAAGCGGCCCAGGTTACTTCAGGCATCTCAGGTGGCTTCAGGCAACTTCAGGTATCAGGACTCCTCAGGCATGTCCAAATATTGCCAGGTGTGGCCAATTGGTCAGACGTCGGGTGCATTCTGGACAGTGATCTGCCTGCAACCTGACGTACCGCATAGTCCTGTAGTCGCTTCAGCAGCCCCTGCGACCACCTGCGGGTGATCTTCGGAAGATAGAGAAGGATGTCGTGAAAATGAAATCAGGAGTTGCTCGCATTGAATTGGGCTAGGTCGCGAAAAAAGTGAGACAGAAATTCTGGAAACAGTCTTCCTTAACGACAACGGGCAGATCTGTAACCCACCAAAGACAGCTTCCCCTGGCGTTGTACAGCTAGTGTAATGACGCTGCCGTTAACAACACCCGCAGTGCTCCGGTCGGCCTCCGACCGGCGCACCAGGGTCGGCGTGGCTGCGCAGATCTTGGTGGTACTAGCCGCCGTACCCTGGTCGCCCCGTTGCCCGTTTGTCGTTGTGCGTGATACCCTAAGCCAGCGCCGAGGGGCCATGCTCAGCCCTTCGAATGACTGTTTCCGTGGCACGTTTCCGACGGAGATTAGTGGCTGCCTGACACATTTAGTGAGCAACTACGCACTGTCCCTATACCATGCTTCGTGGGATATGGGTCGTTCTTTTGTCCCACCTGGCGGCGCACAGACGTAGTACCTGTCTTACGTGCACAGCATGCATGCTGTTCTCGCCACTCCTGAGGGGTCACTGCGCGGTCGTGTACTGAAGTTGAGAGGTTAGGTGGGGAGAGTGGGGTTTTCTTGTGGCGGATCGAGACTCTGCCAACCGGCCGGGGTGGGGTCAACCTCGCTGGTAAGCTTTAGGCGACATCAGCTGCTACGGTTTGGTGGGTCGGCCCAATGACTGCCAGAGTATGTTCCGACTCCGAGAGACTGGAGCGTAGGACATAGATTGCGCAAGCTCCGCAGGTTTGCGCCAGTTAGTAATTTCCGGAAGGCTGGCGTAGACTGTTCTCATTAGGCTTTGCTCCTTTCGTTCCTGCGATTCACAAGGGTTGGCACTTTCACTCTCAAAGTGCGTACCGAGTGTTCCGCATGGGCGACCCGTTCCCAGATTGGCTCGCTCGATTCAGAAATTGTTTCGCGAACCCGTCGATCGGAACTGGTGCCACTGTGCAGGAACGTGCGCAGATCTACTGTTGTCAGGACAAATGTCGGTGCCTTTCTTGAGATTGCACGAAAAGGACATGAATCCATTGCGGGAATCGGTCCGACCCCAACGGCGATGTCAGTGTGACCGCTGTCTATCCGGCTTGTCTGAGTCTGAAGCAAGGCCCCGGGTAGTCAAAGCAAGGGGCGGAGGGTGCGAAGGAGTATGGGAAGGTAAATCGGTAGATCTGAATTCCCTTATCGTCGATAGAGAGTAACATACAATGTTTCCAGGCATTGAGGCATGAATTGAGGTTCGATCTGATCTGCCGAGTAAGCTCTGGTCGGTGATCCTGGTCGATCCTGGATGATCTCCAACAGTGGGAAGCGGTGACCGGCGGCGATGGGTGGCGATGACGACGCCAGAGCACTTGCGACGACTGTCTCACGCACCGCTACGCCACACGCCGCCACAACCACGCACACCAGCCACGCACGCCTCCATTCCTTTCCTTCTGATGCTGGACCGGCCATTGCTGCTACGCACCCAGTGGTGCGCGGATCATGCACGCACACGTATGACGAGGCGATCGAGATCCGTCACTCTGGCCCCGTTCCCCCATATCCCTTTGATTCCCTACTCTAGGTCCCCCTTCATAGGTCCCAGGTCCATACTAGTGGATCTCCCGCTTAAGGTTGTCCAGTGTACTGCGCGTGCGGTTCCGAAAGGGTACGCCAAGCTCATTGGGCTGAGATGGAACGAAGTTCCGAGCGAGCCTTCTTGAAGGAGTTCACTGTGTGGCAACAGGGACGTTGCTTTGCGCGAGAAAGAGAAAGGGTTGCTTGCTGCTGTTAGACGGCCCGCACGTATTCGTCACGATTTGCATGATATACTGTATGTGAGATGATGGGCGTGAAAGCGGTCGGGAATAGAGCAGTGCGGGAATAGCAAGGGTCAGGGCGGAGAGCGGCGCGAGACATGATTAGAAGGGATAGCGAAGTAGAGGAATCCGTAGTGGTGATGAGGTAGTGTGTTTGCGCGTGGTGTGAAGTGATGTGTGTGTGTGTGTGTGCGGGGAGAGGGGAAATAAAAAGTGAATAAACCCAGAACAAAATGAGAACACAAAGAAAATGAAACGTGAAAGCACACCGACCGCGCGAGAGAAAGTATGAACAATCTGTGAATAGAACCCGCCATGCACCGCCAGGGTTATGGATGATGGGTATCTGGCCTCGAGAAATAATGTGTCGGGCAGAGCGAAGTACGAAATCGAGACGATGTTGAAAGCGTCGTGTCATTGGAGGACTCGAACTTTTGGCAGGGAGCAAAGGATGATGAGCGAGCGCGCAAGAGTAGACATTGGCCTACTGTCTCTGTTGATATAACGACGGGGGTGTTGCACGCTCTCGCAATAAGGGCGTGAGGCCTGATCGGAAGTGTCACCTCTCGCCAGGGTCGGAGGAGGCAGTCGAGCTGGGCGCGAAGGCATTTTGGTGTGGCCGTCGTCGGATTAAAGGCTAGGTTGGCCGAAAAATAAGAGTGGTAGTCGTGCGGCACTGTGCCGTCAATGGCGACAGGGCCTCCGAAGCCGGCCAGCGGACAGGTCTTGATTGTTCATGTCGTGAGGTGTTCTTGATTTTTGAGTTTTCTCGAAACCAACTATGTACAGCCGTATGCACACGCTTGTCCTTCATTCTCCGTTGCGGCGCGCACGTCATGGGCGTTAAAAACCGATTCGTCGTTTCCACAATCAATCAAGCTGCTTGTTCATAACAAATCAGAATGAGTGACCACTTGTTCTCATCCCGAGTCAAACCTCTCACTTCTCCACCATCTCCCATCCTCCTTCACTGTCCAGATAGAGTTGGGCGGAGGCGGAGGCGGATCACTCTCATTGACCGGGAATCGGGTCCATGGACGGGCCGCTGCCCGAGTCCGGCTTCGAGCTGCTCGCACTGACGTTGATCCCTAGTGAGTCGACAGGCGGAGGCAAAGGTGCGAGATTAAGCCGGGAGCGGAGGTCGTTGATCTCACGATGCTGCGTTTCGACCTGCGCCTGCAGCTCGGCAATCTTGGCCTCATTCTCCTTCTTGGCGTTCTCCAGCTGGCTAACGTAGTCTTCAGAGTTAGCGCAGTCTCAATGCAGCTCGATAAAGTAAGATCCGCATGTCGGACCAGTGGCAATGCAAACCACCATTCACTTACCTTTACGCTTCGCGCGGAAGCGCCTTGCACCAATGCGGTTTCGCACCTGCTTTTTGTCGCGAGGGTTGAGCGCCTTGTACTGCTCCTGTGGCATGCCCCAAGGCTGGTCGTCGTCGTCGCGCTTGTCTGTTCCTCCGGAAGAAACTCCAGGCCGGGAAAGAGCGTAGCCCTCCCAAGAAGTGGTAGAGCCGGAGTTCGTCCTGCGCTTCTTAAACTCGGAAGTGGGCTCGAAGCGAGACTGCGGAAGACTCGGGGGGAAGCTTGAGGTCGACCCGGCAGTGCTGGGGGGCTGTGGATACGCCATGGAGGGAGATACGGGCGAAAACGTGTTCATCGCCGGCGACATGCTGGGGTACCCGCCTGGGATACGGGGCGAGTAACCGTGGGGGCGTCCGCTAGAAGCTTGGCTCATAGACATGGGCGCCGACGACGGCGGGACAGGGTAGTGGTACGCGCTGACCGGCTGTGAGACTGGAATATGGCTTCCGTAACCGAGGCCCGGGTTACCACCCATGTGCATCGACTGGGTCTGGCCAGACATGCCGCTGGGTCCCGCCGTTGCAGACATCGTGGTCGGAGAAGATGAGTAGTGCGATGAGGGGCCAGCTCCTGCTCCGTAGGCTGAAGAGACTGGGGGAAGAGTCACGCCAGTGCTTGACGAGGGAGGAGGCGCAGATTGAGGCGGGGGCGGGGGCAGGAAGGCGCCGCCTTGGCCGATTGATCGACGGTGGCTTGAGTTGGGATCGTCCCTCGACTGATGAGGGGAGATGGGAGGCGTTCGCTCACCGCCGTAATAGCTGCTATACAGCCCCTGTGCACGAATCAGCATAACTGTTCCACAACATCACTGGAATCGGGCCCAACACGTCAGAGCCGACACAGTGGAATCGTTTCAGCATAGATTGGAAACGTTACGGAAAGGATGCCGGCTTAGTTGCCTTAGAATAACGGCACCGCAGGGCATTGTGGCGGCCCCGCAGGGGTCGTGGAAAAATGCTTCCAGCGCTACTCACCCAGTTTTGCTCCATCAGGGAGGGTGTAGAACGCACAGGCCACGGCTGAATGGCGGTCACCGTGAACACTTGGACCGTGGAGGCCTAGGGAAGTCGGGGAGGAAGGGGTATAAGATTGTGGGTGTGACGGGAATGCGGATAGGGGCGGTGGTAAGCTCGTCCGCCACGGGGTGTTGTGTTGCTCCACGAGATCCTTGAGGTCGAAGGAGGGAGTGGGAGGTGGATGGAGAGGACGATGGGAAGAACTGCAATCGGTCAATACTCGTATTCTTAAATACATCCTCGCGACCGGAGGAGGCGATGAGTAGTGTGGACTTTGTGGGGACATCGGTGTGAAAGCGAGATGAGCGAATGACATGTTGCGCGAGCAAACCTCGCTCCGTAAGAGGCTTTCAGACGCGAGGTGCTCGCGAGGGCGCAAGCACAGTAGTTGTACACAGTCCGTGCGTTGATTGCTGCGCCCTACTCTGAGGTGCGACTGAGCACACAGCGTTATGCGGATACACAATGATGCAGCGCCTTGCAGGTGTTGCGGCAGCACATGGTCCGCGACGCCCGTCGGAGATGACTAAGATGAGGATGATCCGCCCGCGGGCGGCGATGCCGAAAACGCCAGCCAGACAACAGACAAGAGATGGTATGACTCACTAATAACCGGTCCACTGGGGTCTACTACGTCTGAAGCTCCCTAAAAGAGGCTTGTGGCGACGTAGAGCGCTGCAGCGAATCTCGCGTTCGATCGAGCGATGCGGTATTGCCTAAACGGAATGTCGATCGCACGAATGCGGTCAACGTGTTGGTCCAGTCGTGAAATGAGAGAACGGCTCTTGGCTTGAGGGCTGATGCGAAGATAGCGATACGGCGCCGGATCGACAAATGTCGTGTTATGATTGAAATGGAGAGTTGAATGCGATGTCCGTTGTCGTGAAGATATTATCAACACGAGAGATGATATGGAACCGTGTTGGGAGGGGGAAGAATGCTAGGATGGCTGAGGGGCTTGCGTGCGCCTGTGATGATGTGGTGCAAGCAAGCTTATCAGGGGGTGAATAGGGGACGGCCGACTGGCGGTTGGAGGACGGCGAGGGCGGCTGCCTAGCTGGCGGACCCGAGGTATGAGCTTCAGAGGTCTAGACCTGAAGTCGTCGTACACTTCCCTAAGGCAAAAGGGATTCGGACGGAGAGGAAGAGTTGGAAGAAGGGCGGAGGGGTATAGCGAGTGTGGTGGGATAGTGTTGATGCCGGATCGTCGCAGGACCGATCACCTTTCTAATTGTTGAACAGACGTTCTCGTAAGGGGCGGGCAAGGTCGGTAGTGCGATGATGGATGTGACAGCTACAACAGTCCGAACGACAACCTGAACAATCCGACGGTAGAGTTACCCAGTTGACCACAACAGGTTCAGCTCCGTCTCGGGATGCAAGGGGCAAGGGACGGCGAGTCCAGTTGCTGACAGTTTATAGTGTCTGCCGACAGTTGGCTTCAGCCTCTAGTCGATATGAACGAAGATTAACAGTACGCAAGTCAAACACCCTGTTGATCAGGACCGAAGTCCTGGAACACAGTCCACGGTGGAGAGGGGATGAATGGACTGTCTCCTGAAGCAGATGAGGTCTGCTTGGAGGAAGAGCGGGTCGAGGGCGAGCGGCAGTCGGGGAAGACGTGCGCGTACGTTACTTGAGTCGAGGGGGAAAAGGAAATGAGGAAAGAGACGGTTCGCCGACGGGGAAAGAGGCAGGGGGAGGGAAGGCGGCGGTCAATGTCAAAGTGGCTAGGGTTGAGAGTGACGGCCGCGGCGGCTAAGATAGGAAAAGTGTGTCGTGGTGAAGAGCGTCGCGCTCCGGTCGTTTGTGGTAATGGTTGAGGAGTCGAGTGGTCGGGCTTTGCAGGATAACTACGTTCGGAAATGGGTTGACCTGAAGCGAAGCCAAAGGCCAATCGATCTTGACTTCTGTGTTACTCGAGCTGTAACACAATCTGGGTAAGTCGGTGTCGGCGCGAGGAAGGTAGGCTCTATCAACAGACCAAGGAACCAAGGATCAAAGGCGCGGCGGCAGGCGTTCCGGTTGTGACGTAGGGTCGAATAGCAAGCGAGAGTTGTGTGTTGCTTGCAATAGCTGCCCTCGCTGTTGCTGCTGTGCCCTGTTGCCGGGCTTGCGACTTGTTGGCTTGCTTGGGGTGGTATAGCAAGGGGGCTTGACGCTTGACGCACTCTTGATTAACGTGTAAGGAGTGCGCAAGCAGCTCGGTTTCGGTGGAGGAAGTCGGCACGGATTCGGGGCTCTGCTCTGGAACAATGTCCTATGGAGCTTAGCGGTCAACAAAACATTTCGAAGAAGAGGGTTTGAGGAGAGAGATAAGGGACCAGGGTTTGGGTTGTAAGGTGCAGGACCCGAGGGAGGGAGGAGGGAGATCGGGGGGAGGGGAGGGGGAAGGGGTATGTTCAGAGTTGTGCTGGGGCCTGGCATGTTGTTCATGGTGAGGGGGGAAGGATAGCATTAGAGCCAGAGAGCGAAAGCCAAAATGAGTGAGGAGGAGAGAGGGCAAGCAGAGTGAGAGTACGAACTCTGAGCCAAAGGGCCCGGGGGGAGAAGGGAGGAGAGCATGGAAAAGCCAGGACGGTCGCTCGACGACGGTCAGGGCCAGGGGAGCGACGAGCCGCGCGTCACGGGTAGGCCCAGGACGCAAGCGCTAAGTCTGTCGACGTCGAGGGTGCACCGGGGATGGGGAGACGATGGATCGGACAGAGGGGACGAGGGAATTCTGGCTACACACGCAGGAACGGCACAGGGCATTCAGGGCATTCAGGGCATCCCAGGTCCGACCAGGTCCCCTCAGGGCACACAGGATCACTCAGGGCCGACCAGCGCCCCTGAGTTTAAGGGACCGTGATAGATATGGGATGACGCAAGTGACAGGACAAGCCAGGAAGCACGATGCAGAGGGACAGGACGGGCTGCCCCGCTCCAGGAGCTCCAGGATGTAGCCCAGACATGGGGACATCACAGGATCACAGGGGAGAGCGTGCACGGCCATGTCGCCAGGCGCCGGTCGATGCCAGCCAGAAAACCAGAGTGGGGACTACTCGGCGCGCCAGCCGGTTCGGCACACTCCACCACGGGTCACCCACCCAGTCTCTTAACCACCGGGAGATCCTGTTTGGCTGGGAACACGCGCAGGAGCACAGGAGGAGTAGGGAGTATGTACGCTCGTCCCATCAGACATGGCACGCCGCAGGACCACAGGGCGTATGGATCGCATGGTGCTTTGGGTCCTCCGGGCATCTGGGCACTTTGGTATCTGGGCGGCGCGACACAAGATCGGGGGGCAGCCTGTTTATCACACCACATCTGCACAGACGTCCAGAGCTCGTAAGTAGTAGCTGTGGGCTCGGAAAGGATGTGTTATTGGTAGAGGGAAGTTACTTGCAGCCCAGTGCGCGCAGATTGCAGAGTGAGGGTTGAGAGGGCTGGGAACCGGGTAGAGCCGGAGCCTTGAGCCTTCAACCGAGAGCCCGTAGGCTGAGGCAGGGGGGAGGGGGTGGATGGTCTTTTACAAGCCATATGCTAAGCCAAACAGCCACTGATCGACACATGAGACACACCCACAATTCACGAACCGCGAGCGCAAGCGCATCACAGCTCCAGGCCTTGAGTGTCGACCTTCCAGTATCACACACCCCATCGTCGGAAGGTCAGATGGCAGGATCCCAACGCGAGCTAGCCACTACTCCGCTCCATAGCCTGCCAGGCTTAGATTGCTGTAATAGCAAGCAGGGTTAAGGTGGTATGCTCTCGTTGCTGCGGAATACGAGTCACGACATAACCCAGTACCCAGGATGCCATCCGTGCGCAAGACCCTCAATCTCGTATCCGTCTAACATAGCATGCCGAGGCACGCACGTTATTCGGATTTGACGGAGGACTCCGCTTCCCATGAACGCTTCTGAACTCTGCATCCCCAAGAGATGCCTGCAGGCCGCTCTCAACGTCTGTCCTAACCTTATGGCGAGGTTGAATGGCAGGGGAGATACGGGGCCTCCACTTCTCGTCTCCACACATCTCATATCTCTGAGCCGTTCCTCTCAGGCGCTGCTCTTCCATCTCGTGCACAAGGGGCTGAACAGGAGAATCAAGGGGTAGGAGCAATGATGAACATCATACACCAGGAGAACAACCAGGGGGATTGGCATGGATGGAGAGAGATGCTCTGATCCTGCATGGAAGTGGTAGGTGAGAGGGGTAGGTGTGCAGGAAACTTGGGGGGCAGGAGGGGAAGCAATCGGTGGACGGAAAAAGTGTGGTGGGACTCATGGCAGGCAGAGGAAGTACCGGAGGTCTGTAACTCCGTCACCGAGAAGTGCACGACTGCGGGCGACACGCACAGCCGACTCTTCGTGCTCCGTGCGTTGAACTCCCCGACATAGCTCAACACAAGGTCATGGCCTGCACGTGAACGTCTCGACGCCGTAGCATGCCACTGAGTGGTTCTCAAAGCATAGCCATCACACATTACTTAAGCACTCCAAACTCCAGAGACCGTCCGTAGTCCA